CTTTTCTTGTTGCTCTTGATGTCCCTGGCAGGGCTTTGGCTCTCCTGTCTGATCCCTGGCTGCTCAGACAACTTCCCTGTATTCCTCCCAGGCTGCCTGTCCTTGCTTCCACCCTCTGTAGGCTCCCTTTCAGTGTTTGAGTTTGTCCAAGAGCTCCTTGTTCATCCACACAGGCCTCCTGGTGTTTTTGCCTGACTTCCTCTTTGTTGGGTTGCATCGCTTCTGAGCTCGGAGGAGGTGACCCTTGAATATTAACCAGCTTTCTTGGGTCCCTCTTCCCTCCAGGGCTGTATCCCATAGTACTCTACCAATATGTTGAAAAAGTTGTAACTGATATTTGGTGGATATAAAGTGAAAATTATGTTATTAAAAAATCCTGGTGTTTTGGGTTTTATTTTTTTAAATTATGTTCACTGTTTTGTCCTGTCTTATAATTAAGGAGCAATAGTCTTTGAAAAAGTGCAAATTAAAATTAGGAGTTCTTTTACAGTCATTGATACTAAACAGGTGAATATGGCTAGTTTCAAAGTATCCCTTCAGATACTGCATCTGATAAGATAAAGATAGTTAATACAGGTGAAATTAGATGAGTAAAGCTTCATAAAATTATTTCTGATTTGGGGAATTTTAATATTATCTAGCAATGTACGAACAGCCCCTTTTTTTTAGTGTTAGAAGGTGAGTTTAACCATAGTGAGGTTAATGATGTGCAATTACTTGTTCCGTGTGTAGTGAGGGATTTTTTGTTTGCTTGAGGGGCAAAAAAATAAATTGCTACTGCCTATTCCAGAGAGAGGCTATTGAGCTTGATATATTGCTGGTTTTTTGTACAGTTTTTCTATTTTCCCATGTCCTTGCTTTCCTACAGCAAATTCTACAGTAATGAATAAAAATACATAGACCTTTGTTGTCTCAAATACTTCTTAGGCTCTTTGTGGAAGTTGCTTAGTAGAATGTGTGTAATAGCAACTTAATGTCGTAGGTAATGTGTGTCTGAAAAATGCTGAGAAGCAGTTGACAAACTCTCAATTTCGGGGACCATGAGCTTGATATAGTATACATTGTAAGCTTCTCTTCAGGTAATTTTTCCCCACTTACATAAAAGGATCATTCATAAACCAAATTTGTTGTGCAAGAACAGTGTTTTTCAATAAGAAGTATTCTTACTGAGATTTGAATGTAGATCCTGGAAAAGAAAGTAAGATTTATTTACATCCTGTCCCAGACTGTAACTCGAGTCCAGTAATAATGATCTCTAGGTTAGATTAAACAAGTCATTTTGAGGTAGTATTTAATTTCATTAACAGACTTCAGATTTTTAAGGTTTTGTGTGGAAATGTTGTCTGGTGATACAGCAGAATTTTTGTTTTTTTCAGACTTAGGGAACACATGTATTGTCAAAGCATTTTAAAAATAGCACTGCATATCTTTGTTCCTCTTGATTAAAACATTCTCGTGAATATCTTAAGTTAACTGAACACTGCTGGGTTTTTTTCCCACTTGTTGATCATTCAAGGAGAAAAAAAAAGGGGTAAGGTTAAATAACATTTCCATTTGCAGTGATAATCACTATTAGTGAAAAATGAACCGAGACAAAAACTGTCTCAAGTTTCTTACACGTACCAGCAAGGAACATGTAAGAGATGTATTGTCAAAGAGATGGTGAATATTTTTAGACATTTAATCTTAACTCTCTGCTTAGATTTTGCAAAATAAAGATATACTGAGAAATAAAATTAATGGTTTTGAAAAGCAAAAGGAAGTCAAATAAACGCAGAGCTTTTAGTTTTCATTGAAACAATATTTGACTTTGATTATTGCTCTGAATTTCAGAGAAATGGCAATGCTTTTGCATTAAACTTTATAAATATAATTTCCATTCCTAATGACATGGAATACTAATACAACTGGGAAGTCGTACGTTTAACACTGCTGTAAAATTAATGGGTTTAAGTGATATCTGTCAAAAACATTATATGTCCCTATTTATTTCTGTCATCTTTTCTGTGAAGATAGCTTAAGAAAAGTCAGTAGTAACTGTGGTGGAATTACTGTTAAAAAGTAAGTGACAACCTGTATCATTTTAACCAGTAAAAGTGTAAAATCCCTGAAGCTACAGTTAAGATGTTTTTGGTTAGAAAGTAATATTTTTTACAAATGTTTAGGTAAACCATAGGGTAATGACACTGAGGTAAGCTTCTGTGTGTATCTTGAACTAGCCTCCAAGGAAATAGGGAGTGGTGGTGATGGTACTGAACTGCTTGTTTCTGCTGTCATATGAACTTTTTTGGAATTCAGTTTCAGTGGAATTTCTTAAAATACTAATACTACTGTAAGCTTGCAGTGATTATTGTTCATGATTTATATTATGAGGCTCAAACTTTTTTGCTTGTATACTTTTATTGCTGCTTGCTTCCAGCTGCCGATGTCCATAGAAGGATACATTCATCTACTTGAGCAAAGCTTATGCACATGTACTGCTGTTCGGGAATCTTTTGAAAAATCAGTCTCTATTATCTCTTTCAGAATCTTATCTGTTCAGAGTGTGGAGATGAATTTACTTTACAGAGTCAGCTGTCCATACACATGGAAGAACATCGTCAAGAATTGGCAGGCAGTAGGATCCACAGCTGCAAGTCTTGCAAAAAGGAATTTGAAACTTCCTCACAGCTAAAGGAGCATATGAAAACTCACTATAAAATAAGGTAACAATCACGGGATTGTAACAAAATGAGCAGATGTTACTTTTATAGCTATAGCTGGGGAAAGCTAGAGTAGCATTTCCAGTCAGCGAAGTACCATGATCTATGCAGATAATTTCTTTTCTTTGGTATGCTGTTATGAAATGGCATTTGTTTTTTAAAACCTTGCTAAAAAAGGTGGTTATTTTTGGAGGGTCCCCCCCCTTTTTTTTTCCTGCTTTCCTATTTAGGCACCCATACTAAGCATAGTTCCATCTGCTAGCTGTTTGTAACCACAGGTGAAGTTTTTCTGATACAGAGTGCTTTTTGAAGTGTGTTTGTTGTGATTTTTAAAGGCTAATGGCAGTACATTGAAGCAAATGTGTATTAATTTTACGTAGCAGTTATTGTAATTGCAAAAATCCTAATACCTACCTTCTGCAAAGTAGTAAATTGTTCCTTGCAGTTTAATCGTCTTTTGCAAGTAGTCCTCACCACAACCTGCCGGGAGTTTATTGTGAATCTGAAAAAGCACAAAATGAAGGGGAAAACCAGGCCTCATAAATGCTGTTCTTACTTTTGGAGAAAATTTGTTCTGTCCTTTCTTTCAGCTCTCTAGTTTAACTTCACTTTTAGGAAATTGAAAATTACTTTAAGTTAGAACAAAGAAAAACTTACTTCTATTGGTTTAGTTTATCCATTTGACAGGTGATCTCTCTTTTAATCTTTCCTCTGTTTCTATAAAAAACAGATGGGAAAAATATATATTTAAAAATGAGAAATACTAGGTATTTCCAGTTATTTTTATTAGCAGATGATGCAGGTTGTGAGATCTTAATAGTTGTGTTACAGGTTTAAAAAAAAAATTGTAGATTTCCATCTGCAAACTGAAAATTGAGGTAAAGTTGTTACGTTTCTATTGAGCTATGTAATATTACACACAAAAAACGTTCTTGTATATATCTCCTGTGTAAGTTAGGATGGCTACATAAAGAATGGATGAGTGAATCTAGTGTGATGGCTGCGATTTTGAGAGAGTACTATACATGCTAGATTCTAAGTAAGATGTAAGTGCTCCATGATGATTTGTTTATCTTTATTTCCATAAACATGGATTATTTCTGGATTCAGAGCTTCCTTATATGAGATTCACCTCATTTATCAGTTCAGATGTAGAAACATGTTGCATTTGTATTCAAGAAACTACTGTCCATGATGGTGTTTTACTGTCCTTTCACCAGCAGTACCAATACAACCCATGTATGTGAGCCAGGTTAATAAATTGCATAAATGATCCGGCTCCACCTTCTGTGTTTCAGTAGAAGTGATTTTGAAAGGGAAAAACGTGGACATTCCAATTTTTTAATTTATTATTTGACACAATCCTCTCGTACTGTTCAGATGAATTATGAGAAATTAACATTTGACCTAACCTGTTTGACTGTATATAAAAGACATATCAGTCGTTAGAAATCTTACTATTTGATTCCTGCTTTTCATTGTAAAATAAGCTTCAAAAATTTTTTAGGATTCAATATTATGATGAGCTTTGTTCCCTTAAGTTTTTTTTTCATAAAAGTGGTTGGCTTTTCCTTCCCTAAAAGATGTTCATTTTGTCTTTGAAACATTCAAATGGAAAACTAGTATGAAGTTATAATTTAAATTTAGTATCTACCTTTTGCGAAAAATAAAATGGTCATTATAACTCTAAATAGTGAAATATCTTAGAAGGTGATCTGACCTTGAAGGATTGTCCCTACAATTGTCTCCAAACTGGATATTATTTCCTTTATTAAAATGCCATAGCTATAGTTGAAACAGATGTTGCTCATCAGAGAGCACATTCTGACATTCAGGCTGATCTAGACCTGTCCTGAGATGGAAAGAAGAAGAGGTTCTAACATCTGTGCTGTTCTCTTTCCTTCTTTTCCATCTTCTACGTATTTTACTCTGGATACTTCAGTAAATTTTGGTAGATATAATTAACACGTGAAAGTAAAATATATTACCCAAACTCTGTGCTCTCTCTGCAACAGTATAAAAAGATTTTTAAAATGCATGTAATATTTGTTTGAAGTAATTGGAAGGGAAAATGTGCTTTGTTTTAAATATCTGGGTATCTATGTTGTCTTAGAGTAGAAAGATGGGTCATTTGAGCAGAAGTTTAATGATTTCCTATGTTATGCATGAACTGTTACTTTCCTGCTATTTTTTTATACTGTTATACCAGCCTGTGTTTCAAGGTGGTGGTATATTTTGCACATCTGCTCCACATTAGCTAATTCCTATATCTCAGTTGTTCAGAAAAATACCAGGTACTTTAAATTTGTGTAATTTCAGTTAGCTTTAAGCAGCACTGACAAGCTGGATTACTGCATAGGTGTAAATACTCAGGCACTATGGAAAATGTGGAGTAATCTAGATATCATACTGCTTTCTGGTTTCACCTTTTTTAGTGGAGTTGTTGTAATGGTCTTTTAATATCCCCTAGGCTTTTTCTTTTTTCTTTTTTCTTTTTTTCTAGCATAAAATCAGTTGTTGTTTTTTCCATGTTGCTGTTTTTCGGCAGTCATTTAAACTAATCAGTGTGATGTGTAGAGAAATGGATTATGGGAATTTATATCATCTGTTGCCATGTCTCAGTGAAAATTGTGATTTGTATTTGAGGAGCAGTGGTGAATATTTGGGTTGTTAAATTCTTAACCTGTTTTTGTTAGACCTCAGCAACTGCATTTACTGCATGTTCTACTTCATGAGCTCTTTCTGTTCTAGTTGAGAACAAAAGCGTTGCTGTGTTCAGGCAAAAGAAATATAAGTCATGCAAAGTTAAAAGATCCCACCAAAATAGTAGTTGTGAAGTCACTGTATACTTCTAGCAGAATTTACAGTGAAAATGTCTCTAGAGAACCTCTAAGAAGTATAAATTTTATTACAGAAATAACTAAAATTCTTGGTGTTTGTAGATACTTTTCAAAGGGCTCCATTTACATTGTTCTTTTAGTATTGTTAAAGAGTTTGTTTTTTAACTGTTGCAGCTGATAATATATATTGTCATCGAATTTACACTGTATGTTAAAAAATGATGGGGTAAAATCAGCTTCTTCAAAATAATGTTTAATATTAGGATAAAGAGGACTTTATTAAAATTCCCTTTTTTTTTTAAATGACAGGGTATCAAATACCAGATCTTACAACAGAAATATTGATAGAAGTGGGTTTACCTATTCCTGTCCTCACTGTGGGAAGACGTTCCAGAAGCCAAGTCAGTTAACACGACATGTTAGGATACACACAGGTGAGACTGTCGAATTAATTATTTTAGTTTGCATTTGTTTTACAAAATTCAGTTAATGTGTGAAATGCTAAATATTTTTCTCCCAGTCGGGACTTGAAATAGTATTAATACATCTGGCTCATTAGATGCTGTTACCTGTTGATTTAAAACAGCCTTTATGTAATTCCCTTGCTTAGGAAGTTTATATGCTTTTAAAATCTTTTTAACTGTTTCTAATGATATACATCTGGAAATTTTAAGTACTTTACAGGTTTCGTTTGTTACAGAGTACCAGTTTTGGTACTTAAGGTTTCAATGGGCCCTAAAATTGGAATACCTCGATAAGGGCCAGTCAGGTACTCTAGATAAGATCTTATATAGTCTAGAGTTCTAAAATTTACAATCACAAAAAGAGTAGAAATACATGAGAATGAATAATACTACTAACATAGTGGCCTTGCTTTTTTTTTTTTTTTTAAGATTGATTTATTTAAAGTTACTGCCATGTATTTACTGTACTGACTGTAACTGCCATTTTCAGGATGTCCAAAGTGAACTTGTGAGGTGATAAACCTAGATTGTAATTTTGATACTTGGAGAGCAGGTGACTGTTGAGTTTTGCAGAATCAATAGCAGATGGATTTTGCAAAATTTCTGTAATAAATATGTGCATGTATTTAACCCTTACCCTTGAAGTAACTGAAAAATGCTAAGTATAAAATAATACAAAAGTTTTTGAAGTGTACAGAGGACTGTAAGAATAGTTCTCAAGTTTTAACCAGATAAACATAATACAGCATGAGTTTGGCTTTAAACAAAACCTTCATTGAAGGTGCTCCAGTGATGTGCAATATATATGTATTTTCCATCTTGTGAATAAATTGCTGTTTGTCTAGTTTTTAGCTAATTAAAGTAGTAAATTATGTAAGTGTGCAATGTTGTTTGTATTAGCAGTCTGTTCAGTGATGTGACAAGTTGCCATGTACAAGAATGGCTTTGTTTGCCAAGGGAGAAATAAAAATTCTGTTGCATGACTCCTTCTTAGGAATCTTTTTAAGCTTTATAATTTAACTGTAAAACAGTAACACAAGAAGTCAGCCTTGTACCTGCTTTAAAAGTTGTCTCAAAGTAGTATCTAAAAAAAGCCGTTGAAAATTAACTTTGTTATTTTAGAGTTTTGTATCTATTCAATATATTATTTTAGCTTATTCTAGTCAGAGTTAAAGAAGCAAGATTATAGTTGGTTGAGGACACTTTTTTAAAGCTTAAAAAAATTTCAAGAGCATTTACAGTTCTTTTGAAGAGTAAAAAGACATTTGTCTATTGGGAAACCAGAGACAGAAAACGTAATCCCAATTGGCACATGAGGGTAGGTCACTTTAAGTTCCAAGTAGCTAGTGAATACTCATTTAATTTGTGAAGTATGTTATTACTTTAAATCTGCAGACAATCTGTTTGGCATCCAATTGCTTGAGGTACTGTAAAATAATGTAGGAAAGAAGAACTCTGCTTTAAAGAATTTAGAATACTTAAGTCTTTAATTGTTAAAAGAACGTGTCTGTGCTACATGTACAGCATTACATTAGTGTCTTAATTGCAATACTTTTTTTGTCCCTAGCTATTAATTTCAAGCATTTACACCCTTTGGGAAAAAAATTTTAAGTCTCAGGGATTGCAATTCCCATATTAATAACTAAGTAATGAACCCTCCCTTCCCCCTCCCAAATCCGTATTTTATTAAGTTATACTTGAGAAATACAGAAATTTCATGTTTCCACACTAGAATTAAGATTTAGTTTTTAAAATTAAATTTATTTAAATAGGCAAACTTAACCTGAAGCAATACTTCTGTGTGTCCACCAGCAGCTATTAGTGGAAGCTAAGCCTTTTACCTATGAAAGCCCAATATGAGTTTTGTCACTGTATTTCAAGATCTGAATTAGTGTTCTGTATTTTAATCTATATTAAAAAATGGACAGTTAAAACCTACAGATCTTAAAGCATCTTCAAAAGCCGTAAGCAGCAGAACAGTAAATATACATTCCTTCAGAGTTGGTACTATGTGAGTTACATGCTTGTAATCTATTTCAGAAAATAGCTGCTTTTTATTTAAAACTGTGAATTTAATTAAGAATTAATCATTTTAAACTAGATGTAATTACAGCTATATAATTAGAAGTCATATGAAAATATTCATTAAAACTGCTTTAGTGTGCATAATGCTTAGCACATGGTAGTACTTACTGGTGTAGCAGACAATGTAGAGCGTGCTCATAGTACTTTTGCTGTGGAAATGTGCGAAGGCAGAGTGTTAAACCTTTTCAAGGTCCTGCAGTTACCACAGCTAAACTACTTTGCTAAAAGAAAAAAGAGAGTAATACTGAGTTCACAGTGGAGATTTCCAGTAGTCAATTAAGACACATGGTTGTAAGAAACTGAACTTTGTTCTTAGTATCTGTGTGTTTAAAATATGTAGCTTTGTAATATGTTTATGCAGTTCTATTATGTTTTATCACTTAAAATTTCTGGGCAGTTTTTCATGCTTAATCTGTTTCCATACAAATAGCTGTAAGCACATGTAGCACTAGAACAAAATCAGGAGATACTGACAGAGCATTCCTGTAGCAATATTGCCTGGTTTTTCTTTAATGTTCAGTAGTAATAGGAACATTCAAGGGTTTAAAATTATTTCTGAGCAGGGCTGTACAGTATCTCATATAATAAAAACATTATTTTGTTGCACATTTTCTATAGGTAATTGTAAAGAATGAATGGCTATTAATATTTATTGGGGAGTGGGAACTATAGGCCATCTTTTGCAGTGTCATTGTAAGACTTTTTGATTTTAGACTAAATGAAAGGTTAAATTTTTGACTGTTATTCATTATTGTCGATTCCACCCCCTGCTCCCCTGTTTGTTTCAATGCAGGTATATAAGCATTTTATAGGATTTGGTGTGAAATAATGGTGTATGTGTTTTTCCCCCGCTCCCTCTCCCCTTCTCCCCTTTCCCTCTCCCCTTTCTTCAGTAGTTTTGCATAGGAGCTTCTGAGATCTTCCAATCACAAGTTGAGGGAGGTTGTTCTAAATAATTGTTTCATACAGGTTTCATTTATTTTACCCATTTTAACTGATAAATGTCAGTGGGGTCATTAAACTTCTATTGGAGATGTGGAGGTTAGTGGTCAAGGTAAACAATTTCATTGTCAAAACACCTAATAATGTCTGTTTCTGCGTTTATGTGTGTGTATGTACAGATATCTGTATGCAGGATTTTATTTTGCCTGATACAATTTTTAATTTAGATACAGGAAACTGCTGACATTTATTTAAAGCCCCTTACCCCACATCCTCGTTTTTCTTTTTAGGTGAAAGACCTTTCAAATGCAGTGAATGTGGAAAAGCCTTTAACCAGAAGGGGGCATTGCAGACCCATATGATCAAGCACACTGGTGAAAAACCCCATGCTTGTGCCTTTTGTCCTGCAGCCTTTTCTCAGAAAGGCAATCTTCAGTCACACATACAGAGAGTTCATTCAGAGGTAAATACTATTATTCATAAAGTGGTTGGTGCTAATATACTGCTTATTTCATTTTCGGTATTTAAATTTTCCTGTTTGCTATTCCTATGCTCTCTGGTGCTTTCTGTAGCCAATTTACTGCTGTAGTATAGATTCTAGTTTGTTGGTTTTACCTGCAAGCTTTCCTAAAATAGCTTAATCTGTATAACGTATACTTAGGATGAATAGCAAAACCATCATTTACCATTGTCCTTTCAGTATGTTGATAGATCAATAAATTATTAGTGGGCTTAGGTGTATAAAAATGTACCTGTCAGTCGTGGGAGAATGACGGCTAGAATCAGATGAAAGTAAGCCAAAAGCAGCAAAGCAGAAAATGGTGAAAAATTTAAAGGCCAAACAGCAGCCCACTAACTCCATCATAGAGCATACTTGAAATTTGTCTTTGAAGCATATATCTTACAGCCTTTTTCAGAGGTTTTTCAGTTACAGGTAGAAGAAAATTACAATATAAGATAAAAAACATTGTTGTCTCAGATGCCTTTATGCTGAGTTTTTCTTCTTTGTGACAATTTTTAAAATTCAGAAGGTACTGCTATGATAATGTAATACAATCTTCTGAGCAACATAGGCTATGCAACTTTGTTCAGTAATTTCCTTGCTGACTTTAGTGATTTGTGGTTGGAAATACGCATATAAAGAGACCTAGTTTTGATTTGGAAGGTATGAAGTGATAGAGGCAGCTTTTTTTTTTTTTCTTGCATGCAGAATATCGTCTTTGCTCTCACTCTTTCCCCTAACTCTGTCTGACATTTGCTTTCTTGTTTTCCATTTTTGTGTTACAATGATAGATCTTATTTATTAGATTTTTTTTATTTTTTTTTTTTACTAAGGATCCTTTTAGTGTGTTAGTTTCTTACTTTTAGGATATGTCTTAGTATACGAGTATGCCTCAGTGGTTTGTATTATGCTTAATTATATTAAATCATATGTTTGCATTTCATATAACTCTGTGTGACTAGTCTTCCTCACTGTTCACAGCTCCTATATGTGATAGCTTTTGCTACATAAAAAAAAATGCACCAACATTAATTTAATAAATTACATTGATTTTTTTTTTCAATATTACAAGATTGTTGGGGATCAAGCCAAAAATATTTTTCACTTTTTTTTCTGTTACTCTGTAAGTAACTGTAAGGAGAGGGAAAAAAAAAGTTGTGGAATAAGGGACTTTAAATAAATGCTATCTCTTGATCATGTCTTAGGCTGTGTTTTGTGATCCTGAGCTTACATTTTAGTTATTGCTTTGGATCATTTTTTGATTTTTTTCTTTCTTACTGTTGCTGTATTTCCTTCAAGACTGCATGCAGAACTCTTAATTCTTCATTTTATCCTGAGACAGTCACAAAACAACATTACAGGTGATAATGAAACAGGTTGATTCTCACTTCATATATCACTGTTTAGTTGTATCAGTATTTTATTAGTTGATACCACTTTCTGAAAGTCTTGTTACCAGTTTAAGCTAATGTCAGAAAATACAAAATTCCATACTATATTGCAAACAACGCAGCATGTTTTCTTTTGAAGACTTTTTCGTTCCCTTTATATTGAAAGTACTGCACTGGATCTTACTGATATGTGATAGACTGAGAAGGAGGGGGAAGTGAGGATGGTTGGAATCTGCAAATATAGCTGCTTTTAATTACCTCAACCCCTTGGCCTGAAAGTCCCAAACAAGTTGCTCCTGATCACTTTCTCATCCTGTGTGTTCAAATTCAGTTCAAATGATACATTAAACTTCTCTGCCCTTCACAGTGTTAGTTTTTTTTGGTGTGTTTTTTTTTTTAACGCAGTCCCTATGGCCTTTGGCCCAATTTCTCGCCTTCATTCTACTTTGACCCAAAAAAATGGATTTTATTTTTTCCTGGAAATTTATGAAAGATACTTTTGTAAAAGTAAACAGAAGAGTGCCAAAATTTGAGATAAATTATCTGCATTTTATACTCTCCGTATTTCCAAACTTCTGTTTGTATTATGTACAGCGTTACATCTTCAGGCACATCTTAATTGATAAAGTTGCATTTCAGTTTTGTTCTAAGTGTGTAATGGTAGGAAGTTGTAACGAGGGAAAAGTCTGAGGCCTCATTTGCGAGATGACATTTGTTTTGCTCTCTGGTGCTTCCCAACATTAAGAAGTGGTAATAGGAGATGACAGTCATGCATGTAGATTACAGTTGACTTGATATCCGAGAGACACCAGACTGATTCCATAAGTGGATATCAGTAACTTGGAAAAATAAACTGGTCTAGTTCTCATAATCCTATGGCATGTTTGTATATGATGAAAAATGTAATATTTGGTAGATGTAGGGAAAATTTACTTAAATTTTTTTTGTTTTATTGAAGGTGAAGAATGGCCCTACATACAACTGTACAGAATGTAGCTGTGTCTTCAAAAGCTTGGGTAGTTTAAATACACATATCAGCAAGATGCACATGGGTGGTCCACAGAATTCTGCGAGCGCTTCAACAGATGTATCTCATGTTACGGCAGTAAGCTTTGCTCATTATATTGTGAAAATGCCTTTAAGAGTTTAATTAGTTCTATATCTTAATTCCAGTAATTCTTCAGATAGGTTAGAACTAAAAGACCTGTAGCTGTCTTTTGTGTTTTTAAAGTTTTGTGTCATTTCTGGAATTGATTTGCATGATTAAATATTGGCAGAATGTGAATTGGCCAAGTATATGCAAAAAAGGATTTACAATTGGAAGGTTTGGTTGAAAATAATATTGGGGAAGTTTTACTGGAACAATGAAATTTAGAACTATTCAAATTATATATTAATTTCATCTCATTTTCAGAAATGAATTGTTTGTATAATTCTAGTCCATATAAACACATAGTGGATTCTTCTGAGTATTTCTGATAACTTGTTTTAAATGTTAGCTTCTTATTTGACGGATCACAAAGGAAAAATCTTAGCTTTACTGGAAGCACTGAATGTTTTTCGTTCTTTACCAAGATACAATAAAGAGCTAAAATTCTGGTTTCATAAGACTTATTTTTTTGAGCCAGTGCATGTTTAATATATCATAGTACTTCTTTTTTGTTCTTTGAATAGAACTACCTTTTCTACCTTTATTCCACTCTGGTTTGCATAATTTCCAACTGTTAGGCTTTAATCTTCAATAGATGACAAGTAATACCAGACTTTGAAGAGGAGGGTTAAAATTTAAAGTCTCAACTTCATTATGGAGCTGTATTTTCTTGAAAACAAGTGTCTAGTAGTGTTGTTTGGAGAAACTTTTTTTTTTAAGATTTCATGAAGGTTTTTTTTGTATGGCAGATGCTATTTGTTTCTTCATAATAATAAAAAAAATACTAATGTGTCCTATTTGCTTGCAAGTGCATATAACCTCTATGTCTTTTTGTATATTTCTACATTCACAAGCCTAATCTTAAAAGCAGAATGGAAAAAAATTCCTTCATACTACCTCATGTTTGCTTTCCCTGGCCAGCTCTGTTTTTCTTGTTTTGGCTTGCTTGAGTATTTTGCATTTGTGTTGTGTATTGATATTACAGCAGTGTGGTGTTATCTTTGCTGTTATTCATACTTCTCTGCTTGCATGAAAGAGGGGAAAAGTAAAGAACACCTCCATACAGTAGTATAAGCAAAATGGGAGAAGAAAATTTCTTTTTAAAAACAGATGCCAAGAAGTTTAACAAGGAAGAGCAAACATAATAACTGACATGTCAATTGCATATTAAGAGTATTATGCCTTTTATTTTTAATTTTATATCTGAAAGTGCAGATATTTAATGATTTTTTTTTTGTTGGTTTTTTTTTTTTTGCTATAGAATGTACCATCTTTCTTAGATTAGCACTAGCATTCTTAGATTAGAACTGACTTCTTTATTCTGCTTGAAACTTGCAGAGCTGCTTTAACAACAAATCTCCAGTGTAGTTATTCTGTTCTGAAGTTTAGACTCTGTCATCCCTTGTTATGTACCTGGGGATGAACAATGATTATGTCCTTAATAAATACATACTCCAAAAGTTGAGGTCTCCTGAAGTGCTGTGCTACCAAAGAATGCATTGTAGTGTGATACATGACTATCTTGTGAAATATGCTTACTGTAAGGCTGTTATTTGCCTTTTGCTGCATCAGTGCTTATAGCAAAGGTTTTGGTTTCTGTAACTTGGGTTCATTTAATGTATATAAATGATGACGCAACGTTAGTGATTGTGTGTACTTTTGTATCTCTCCCGTAGTCTCATTTTTTCCGTCCCTGCTCTTCATACTGTGGGAAAATGAACTGTGCTGCTTTTCTGCATGATATTAGCCATGTTTTTCTTATTTTTGCTTAAAATACTTTCTTTTCATTTCTTTGTAGGACTCTGTCACCCAACCTTTAACAACATCCCCTGCTAATCTTTTGCAACCTGTTGATAACAAATGGAAGAATGTAAGTGTAGAGTTTTTGTCATATTTTTGCGTCAAGACTGAAAGTGGGAGAAACTTTACAGAATTCTGTGAACTTTAATTTAGCTGGTGAAAAAGGATATGCAGAGGAAAGGTCTTCTGCGATAAGTTGATCAGCTACTATGTGAAAGCAAGCTCCTTAGTGAATGCACCTGGTTATTTAGGAATGGAACAGGTCTTGAATGATTATATTCCCTCATTTGTTATATGCTCATGATTTTGCATATAATTCTGTTCATTGGATCTTCAAAATGGAGGCAAATACTCTCCTGTATAAAAAGACCAGAGGAGAGTAAGGACTCTTAAAAATATTGGATTATCCTGCTGCTCTGACTTTACTTCACAGGAATACCATGGTTTGGGTGGAGAGGGAAGGAGCTGTGTTCATGCTGGTTGAGTTGGTTAGAATTTGAGGCAGCAGTGGAGCCCTGGGTCTCAGGAGGAGCCCATGGAGCCAGGGAAGGATGATGCAGGGCTGGCTTTCTGGAATCTCATAGCAAGATATCTGAGGCAGGCAGGTCTTGATGTGCCAGTCACAGTGAGAGCATTAGTGTGTTTTGTTGCAGCTATGTACCATGTCGTTTGTCAGCTGTAGGTTGCAGTATGGTATCTTACTGACAGATTTATCTGACTTAACTTTCCCCCCTTCCCATCTTCAGCCACTGATTATCTTCTCATGTACTAGAATCCACAAAACCAAGGGCTAGGAAATGTGGCAGTATTGCTTTAAAGTCACCATAACCAGTCTATCCACTTTCTTTTTATCGTGTACTGTGAATTCAGTGTTCTGGGACCAGTTAACTTAAAGCTGAACTGAAGTGGTGCAAACTAATTAATTACTAATAATTGCTGTATTAAATAAATAATTATACTATGTTTCTTGTAAGCTTTTAAAAAGTATTAAAAATGGCTGTTCTTCAAAAGCAGTTTATTTTAAGTAAATTTTCTTTTTTTTAACCAACTGAAATTATTTTCCGTCGTACGGAATGGTATCGGGTGATGCCTGGTTTTTGGGGGGGCTGTGTGTGTGTGTGAAAGTGCAGGTCTGAAAGGAAGATAATCATCAATTTAGGGTACACTTTATTGTAAATATACTGGATTAAATGTAACATATTCCTAAATAATGAAGTTTTATAAAATTATAATCTGCATATATTTGTGCCAGATTTATGTTCTAGAAAGGGAGGGGGAAATTTGCCTAGAATGTAGTTTTTCAATTCATATTGATCTCTTAAAAATCACTTAAAAAATAAAAATACAATATTAAAATTCAAGTCTTGCATAGTCCCCCCCATTTGTCATACCACTGTCCACCCCCCGCAATAAATTGACTTTTTTTCATATAGCATGGTTTATATTCAAAAACCCTCCAGCAAATCAAGTTCCAGAGAGGAACTGATGACGTCTCTTTTTCTCAAGAATCAAGAGGATGTTTTTTTGTCTTTTTTTCATTGACTCTGAATATTGAAATTAGGCTCCTTTGTCAGGGTGTCATATTGTGTGGTTCCCAGTGAGAGGTGCCAGTTGGGAGCAATGGATCCCATTGCCCCCTCCTCCCATAATTGCCTGGCACTCTTGCCTACCAAGTGAGAGGACTGGTCTGGTTCCATCCTTAGTCTAAGCATCTTTCTCCAGAGAAAGATTTGTTTAACTGCTGAACCACCAAGCATTTTAAGTGTGAACCTTTACAGAGTCAGCTTCAGCTTACATGTGGTGGATCTAGGAAACCAAGCAAGGAGAAGCCTGACTTTCCTAGTCTAGCAGTTAGAGCAGAAACCTGAATTCTCCTTCCACTTGCTAGGGTACCTTCTATTTTTACAGTTCTAACTATATACTGTAACATGTATGGGAATCTTGTGGAAAAGGAATGCACAGCATCACTTCAAAACTAATGCAGACAGACATCAATGCTAAGGTGAATCAGCAGCAATTTTGTTACATGTTTTCAGATATTCCTCCTTTGATGTACTATCTGCTTGTTTCCATGCCTTCAGATGCACAGCCTGCTTGTTTATGTGCAGTTGCTGTTCATTTGTTGAACTAGGATATGTGCTCAGATTCCTCCATGGGATGGCATCATGTATCACACATGTTTTTAAGAAAAGGTATACATATTTTTCTTTTATTTAATGTTTGCTTTTTGGTAAGTAGAGCTAGTTGCATCCTTAATGATTCTTCATTTTCCTTCTTGTAATGGAGATGATAAAAAGCAGGGATATGTTTTTTGTATTTTCAAATAGAATGACGTACTAAAATTAACATGAGGTGCCATGAGTGATTTTTAAAACTTTCTGAGAGAACTTGTAAAAGAGGTGTGCAGGGAATCACCATTGTTACTGTGTTTCTGATGGAGTCACTTGGAAAGTAATTCTTGACCCTACACTACTTAATAGTTTATTAGTGACCTGGAAGAAAATATAAAATCATCACTGATCAAGATGATACAAAGATTGAGGTAATTTATGAAGAGGACAAATCACTGATACAGAGTGATCTGGATTTCTTGGTGAGCTGGGTGCACCAAACAATGTATGTTCTGATGTGGCCCAGAATAAAATCACATATAGAAGAACAGGAAAAGCAGGCCATATTCACAGGGATAGGAGTTTTCAAGGATTTTAAATTCCCCTTATAAATAGGGATGGAAGAAGTAATAATTGATACATCAGCTGAAGGTTAGGTTTGCCTTGCCTGGAAAGATTAGTTTTGGTCTTTTTGTTTATAGAGAAGAAACTTTGCACAGAAATGAAAACTTTGTATGTCCTCTGTATTTCATTTGGGGAAGTTTTGCTTTTGTCGGTTGTCTGTTTACAGTGTTCACTATTCATGAACTATATTCAAAGATACAGGAGCAATCGGAGCCATCAGAATTCTTAAAGTATGATATGATGTATTTTATTATTTAAGAGATTCAAGGTGCATTATCTATTTTGCCCATCAGATAAAATATTTAAGGATGACTAATTCTGCTGTTTTGAAGAAAAGGGGAAAATCTGTAATCCCTTTAATAGGGAAGAGAAAAAACTTTTTGAGGGTTGAAGCTAGACAAAGTCACACTTTGAAATAAAGTATGGAATTTTAGTGTAGATAATTTACCGTTGCAGCAACTTGTTGAGGTTGTATAGCAACAGAAAGTTATCACAATAAAGTACTTGATTTAAAGATCTGCTATAATTTTTGTACAGTTAGTTTACTTGAAGGAGTAATTCACTTGGAGCAGTCACACCGTCTGTGTTACACAGCAGATCAGACAGACTAAGGGTGATCACAAGGTGCACTATTCTAATGGAACAAATGTGGAATTATGAAGTAGTAATAAAACACTTCATTCTCTATGCTATTTTTAAAATTGGGTAGTGAAGTGAGACCTACAAAGAGACCTGAAACTTTTTGTGTTGAACAGGGTATCCTAATAGCAATAACCTTTATATGCATGCATATATGTATGTATTATTTTCAAGAAAGCTAACCTCCATGAGACTGTATATAAACTGCTGTATAATACGTGAACATACTGGCTAAATAAATGTAGTACTGTAATTTTCATGTCAAAGATGATATTAAGCAGTTCCTTCATTAACAATTTTTTTTCCCCTCTTGCTAAAGCCTGGGAGAATTTTATAGACTTTTTAGTGTAGGCTTCCCGCTCTACTAAAGAGCTTCTCTGCATTCCGTTGCAAGAAAATGAATGGTCTCTATAAAGAGCTGTTACACTCTTTAGCAAAACACTTTGCTTCGGTTCCTGTTTATTGCAATGAAAATGGCATACAGGGTGTTTTATTTTGTAAAATACATATTGAAATGTTTATAGCCCTTTTGCTAAATTGGAATCTGAAGAGGTTGAGTCTTTCCATCTGTCCCAATGGTGAGGTGAAAAAAGATGAAGTAATGGTTAAATCAGCAAAATAGCAAGTGCTATTCTTGCATGCATGCAAGAGAAATGAGATAAGGGTTTGTTTTATATCATCTCATGAGAAGGCATTAAGAGTACTTAATCAAATGCACAGGATGTAACTCGAGTCAAGCTAATTTTTCATAATACATTTCTTTGTAACTACCCTCAAATATGGTGACAGTGTTATTTTAACTGTCCAGTGTAATGTATCAGTATAAAGAAAATCTTAGGAGAGTTTTCAGATTAGAAGAAATACTACATGAAGCCTAACATTATTCTTTGTTAAATATTATCTAAAAGAAGGTAGCATTTTATGTATACATGTATGTGTGTGTGCACGTGCACGCGCCTGCAAGTGATTATTTTTGGAGAGCAGAAGTGAATATTAGAAGCAAATTTCCAGTGTGTTCTAAGAAACAGAATTATGGGGCTAGCCACTATATAAATATAAATTTCTCTTTTCTACAGTAAAATAAATGATTGAAAGCAGTTGTTTCAGTAACGGTATACTTACAGAGTCTATTTGTTATAACAAAGGGAAATTTATAAATGAAGGAGAATAGAAGGAGTCTTAATTTCTGATTTTAAAAAGAAATACTAAGGCTCGTTATCATTTTTTTCTTCATATTTGTTACTGAGGTAGCCCAAGATACAATTATGAAATCAGAAATAAAGAAATTGGATTTTTTAGACTTTATGTTTTGTTAGTATTTTGACACAGCTCCATCTGTATTTAAATTTTTAGAGTATGAAGAGATTCTTCTAAAGCTAAGAGATTTAGAAGATTGAAAGTTGAAGGGAAAAGAGTTAGTAGTTTGATTGTTCTGAAAGATTTTGATATCACAACACAAATAATTTCATACAAAAAAATCTCAACTAATAGAAGGTTATTTTTCCAAAGGACTTGCTTTACTTAAATGTGAACTTTAAAAAGATGACCATGTCAGTGCCATTTATTTGTTGTGGAATTACTTTGCATGTGGCCTGTACATGTGTAATTCAGTAATTGATCCCTGTGTTTTGTGAACTGGTTGACAGTTCAGTAGTTACGATAACATTAATTCAAGCTGTAAGCTTACAGTTATGCAGCTTGGGAAGAACTCCAGAAAAGGGATATAGAGAAGCAATTCTTTAGTGGAGTGAGCAGACCTTGAATGACAGCTCTGTGTAATCCTTATGTTTTATACAAGTGGACATCCTTGTAGTGGACAGTTAACATATTTCAGATAAGGCAGCTGAACAGATCAGTTCATACATACTTTTCATCTTCCTTTACAAACGTACTGCTATATATTTCAGGCCACACATTTTCGGTCTCCACTTCTTCAACAGACAGAAAACCAGGTGTCGTCAGCTACTGCTCATCAGGGTCAGCAGGCTGTAACTGATGTCATCCAGCAGCTCCTTGAGTTATCAGAACCAGGTCCTGTAGAAAATAACCAGCCTCAACAACCTGGTCAACAGCTCAACATTGCAGTGGGAATCAATAGAGATATTTTGCAGGTAAGAGCTGTGTGTGAGAACAGCTTTATATTTCAGTCGTTTCTTTCTCGTTTTTAGTGAAATTTGTTCTCAGTATTTTCAATGATAGCATTCCTTCTGCATTTCTAAATGTTTTATCAGTCAAGAAAGAATTATAGAAATCTACTGAAGGAGTGTGGAATGCACCAAGGTATCTTTTTGTATAATTTTACAAAAACAAGGTTATGAATATTGATTACATGACCTAGAAGAAAGCTTTAAGTGTACACACCCATACATGGACATTTTATTGATCCCTTTGGCTTCTTTTTTTTTCCCTGTTGCCTAGAAGGAGTTTGTGGCATGTCCTTAAGTTATGCTGTGCTTAAAACATGATGACATTTTAGAGGGGAAAAATATTTTTACCTAGTAAAAAAAAGAGAATGTATACAGGGCCCTTATCCTGTTCTAATTAATAAGGCTATTTGAATATTTCTTATTGGTGCAAAGAAAATTCCTTCCTGGGTCAGACCAATGTTTTGCCTAACCCATTATTCTGTCCTTGATACTGGCAATAGGAGATGCTATGTAACAGAAGAGATGCAGGCAGTAATTCAACTGTCTATGCTTGTTCTGCATCCTCCACTGCATAATAGAACAGGGCAGAGAATATTATTCTTTAGTATTGGTGGTAGCCTGCTATAACCATTAAGCTATTTTTTTAATCTCTGGTCTTTTAATTACCGTTTAAATTTTTTTGGAAGACCCAAATGTTACATGTAGCTATGTGCCGGTTCACCATGTTAACCTCTGCTGAGTTCTCTAATGTTGGGAATGTGATGTGCAGTTGCACCAAATTAAAACACAAAATATAACTATTGTTGTGATAGCTATTAAAAAATAAATCTGTCTTTGAGGTTGGTTCTTTAAGTTATTGTATGAGCATCACTAGCCATCTTGTTGTACAAAATAAAAATAAAACATTGTTTTCTTCCAAGCAATCAAATATCTGCACACTCCTACTTAAATGTGTGTTTGAGGTCTTTGATCCAGAGACTTTTCGGACACAATAGTACGCATAAAGGTGCCTACACCCCAGTCCCTTCCAGGTGTACATAAAAATGAGTGCATAGCTCTTGCCTTGGTCTGATGGTTATCAGTGGTTTGTTAAGAGAGCCTTTTGAACTTTTCAGAGTCTGTCTTTGGTTTAGCATTCTTCCTTTTTCTTTATATCTTTTATGGCTTCTCCACAGCTGATGGGCTTAAAATTTGATCTTCTGTGGGGAACTATCCTCTCATGTAGTAGGCATAAGAGAGCGCTACGTATTTCTGGCGAATGCTTGATTCTGTAGAAACAATTGGTACTTTTCTGAAAGGCAGCTGTTGGCACATGTATTAATGCAGCAAATCCAACTTAAAATCTCACAGGCAATCAGAAGTCAGTGTTGTGTGAGAATGTTTTTGCAAGTTTGAAATCCAGCTGAAATTCTGGGAGGACGAGACATTTAATTCCTTTAATTATATTTGCATTATATCTTCTAAGTAGCTGTTTGAGAAAAGTTGGAGCAACTGCGGAATGTTTCTTTCTTAATCTAGAAGTTTTTTGTTCTCTTTTAGCAAGCTTTAGAGAACAGTGGGTTGTCTTCGATTCCCGTCTCTGCACATTCTACTGAGTGCAGCCAGGCTAAGACTCCTGGGGCTCAGGATCAGAACCCAGACGTCCAGACTCTCTCAAATCATCAGGCTGACTCTAATAATGCAGAACAAGATAAGGAGCAAGAGAGTACAGATAAACTGGATAAAAAAGAAAAAAAGGTTATTAAGAAAAAATCACCGTTTTTACCTGGTAATGTTGCCATTGCTTGCTACTTTTTGTGCTGTAAGGACTACAGTATTTGTGGGTGTGATGGCTTTATAAAGGGATTTCCCAAAACATGCTGTGGATCCGTTACGTTCTTCATCTTCTTTTATCTAAAATACAGTATGTGTATAAGTTAAGATAGTAGCATTTATAACTTTCATTATACTGATACTAAAATGTGTCAGAATGGCATGAAGTGAAGTTACACTGTTAAATCTTTTGGATTTAGATCAGTGGAGTTTTTGGAGGAGGACAAAAAAGAAAGACTATAAATCTTTTTCCCTCTTTTTCCCATCATCCTTCTCTGAGGAGGATTGGGATTTCATGGTGTGTCCCAGAGCAGAGGGTTCTTGCAGGCTCTACTCTGGCCTTGCAGAGGCAGAAGTGCAGTGCTGCTGCCTCATGCAGATTTTCACTGATCTAGGCCATGTAGGGAAGGAAGAAAGTTGGCATTGTGGATAGTACTTCACGTTGCCTGTGTTTGGAATCACAGTGCTGATTTGATACCGTCACCATAAATGCATCTTAATATTTCACCTCCTTACTGTATTGTGTGCATGCAAGTCTGGATTTTATCTCTGTGTGCTTAAATGCAACTTTAGTGTTAAAGTTGCTCAAGCTTTAAGGTTGCCAACTCTATAATAATCAGTCATTGAGCTCTGTCCATAGTAACTTCATAGATACATTGATGTTGCTTTTTTCTTTGCAAGGGTTGCAGAAATTGACCCAAAGTCAAAAACTTATCTTGTCCAGCATAACTGGGCTAAAAACCGACATTAACTTTTTCCTCTGGTAATAATAACAACTATTTTGTTCCTTGTGTGTATCAGTAACAACTCGCTAACTCTGACTGCAAATAAAAATAAAAGGTCACTGCTATATAGTCAAACACAACCACCTTTATTTTTTCATAAAATAATGTAACCTCAGTGTATTGACATGGTTTACAGAAAAAAAACAACAATGTGAACTGATTGAAACGAGCAAATGTCTGATATTGAACAACCTATATGAATAAAAAACCCTGATGGGATTTAGAAGCTTCTTTTGTCATTTTTATTGAGAAAAGGTATACTGTTGCTTTAGGATGGAGCTTAGGGTTCTTGGATCATAAAACAACTTTTGTGAAAAAGTAGCCTTAAATTGTAAATATTTCAGAAGGACTTTTTATGGACATTTTGCTCCTTTAAAGATGCATAAAATGTAATTTAAGTCTGAATTTGCAGAAGAGAGGGCCATATCAAGTATCTCTTCCACTTAGCTAGATAAGCGTTTAGTACTTAAAATAATTTGGTTTGGTTATGGTTCAGGAGTTATAGTCGTTGGATAATTTTATGTTAGATATGGTATTTATAAGTTAATTGGTATATTATATGGCATTACAACTGCATTCGGTATTTCTAAGTGGCATACAAACTGAATGCTTTCTATTCTGTGAAGTCAGAATTTCTTAGCTTTTTTTTTTTTTTTTTAACCACCTTCCTTTTTGGTAGCATAAAAATGTTTGAATTTCAACAGGATTGTCTTTGGTTGTGTTTTTGTCATTCCAGCCCATCACTATTTTTGTGAAGTAGAATATATCTGATGGAGAAGTTAATTGTCTGCGAAGTGTGTTGTAATGGCATCTATTTCACAAAATGTTTTTGTGTTTTGATTGCTTGTATAATGGTGTAAGTGTGGTGGATTTTTTGAAGAACTGTTAAAATGTTTGAAACATTCATTTTTGTGTTCCCTATTTTAGGTTCTATACGTGAAGAAAATGGAATAAGGTGGCATGTTTGTCCATATTGCTCTAAAGAATTTAAAAAACCAAGTGATCTAGTGCGTCACATTCGCATTCATACCCATGAGAAGCCGTTCAAGTGTCCGCAGTGTTTCCGCGCCTTTGCTGTTAAGAGTACTCTCACAGCTCACATAAAAACACATACTGGCATTAAAGCTTTCAAGTGCCAATTTTGTATGAAATGCTTTTCCACCTCAGGGAGTTTAAAAGTTCACATTCGTCTACATACAGGTAAGGCCTCAAAATTGCTTTTGTATTTTCTGTGGTGTGGGTGAGACCTTAAATGAAAAAACACAATGTGAAGTGTTTAAATTGTAGAGATGTCTGTCACGTCATTGATACATATCAGAGAATGAACCATTTTTAGTGCCTTGTATGATGAACTTAAATTTTTGACCTAACCTTCTAGTGTTTCATGGCTTTGAGACTTTGTTTGGGCTCTTACAAAAGCCATGAACATCTAGTTTTCTGATGAAGAGTCAGCTGTTACTCCTTTTTAATATCAGTATTGTGAGTGTATTTAATGGTGCTTTCTAAAGAGTCATACTCTTAGAATTTGAGTTCTGATTTTACTTATCCCCAGTCATCTTTCATATTTACTCTGCATCTTTTCTTCCCTCCCCTTCCCCACACTTGTTGATAATTTCACTGTATCACTCAGGACTGTTTGGTTACTTCCCATTTTATCTTCAACAATAAGGTGTTGCTTTGTGTTTTCACCACCTTAACTTTTCAATATCTTACACTGCATAAACTCCTCTGTTCGTATGGTCCTTGTTTACATCATATGTGATGTCTTCAATACCCGTTTTTCTGTGGCTGAACTTCTATCCTCTGCATAGAGAAAAATGAATTTTCTACTCTTGGTGGACTGCCTGGTTGTTTTGCACTTTTTCTTTCTTTATGCCTGCAGGTAAATAAGTTTTCAGGAAGATAAGCTCGTAAATGTGCTAGTCTTTACTTTCACTCCTGTTTGTGTATTTACATTCTGCAAAAGTATCATTCAATGGCTATGTGCATTTGGTGTTCAATATGTTTTATAGTCAAACCTTTAATCCACAAAATATCAATGTTGGATTCATCTGCAGAAAGTTTTTCACTTTGTTTTTTGTAAACTTGTAAACTAGTATTTTTCCTATTACTTTAACATCAGCCTTGCTTTATTTAAGGAGTCAGACTCATGCAAAGTGGCAAAAGCACTAGGTGGCTTGAAAAATGGGTAGTCCAGTGTTTATGGAACTCCAGCATGTAGTTAACCATCATTCAACCCACTGTTTTTTCCTGTCAGAGATGTTTGCTTCTTCCTCTGTCTAGCAGGTTAGGCTTACTGGGTCAGGTTAGAGGTTCAGCTAGCCCCGTATGCTGTCTCTGATGGCAGCGTGCAGAAAGGGGGAAGCCTACAGTAATGCTTCTTAGCAGCATACAACCAGCTTCCGCCAGTCTTTGGGTTGAGGACTTCGTGAAGCAGGCTGTACCTCTGCACTAAGCAGCACTTTATAAGTTTTTGTTCCAAAGAACTTAGCTGATTGATTTTTGAACCCATGTGAACTTAATACTAGAACAACCTAACATAATGAATTAAAACGTTGAGCTACATGTTGAGTAAAGTGCTTTCTGTTGCTTTAAATATTCTGCTCAGTAGTTTCATATGATGTTTTAGTTAATGTATTGTGAAGAATGGTTCATTCTTATTTCTTGTGCACTTTTCCTATCTGTGATTTTATAGAGTTTTCTTCATAATACCCAGTCATGTTTCCTAGCCTTCCAAGTCCAAGATCTCCCCTTGAACAAAAGCTTGAAAGTTCGACAGCTTTCACTGTCTCTGTAACTTACCAGGTTCTCCAGTAACCTTTCCAGGGAGAGATTTCTACCAGATATTGCATGGCAAAAGTCCTTCGTTAATAATTCCTGTTGGCATGCTTTTTTGACTGCCATCAAACAGTGTTGACGTTTTCAGAGACAGATCTAGAATTCTGTTAGACTTTGTCACATCACTGTTCTTCCGTTTTATCCTATTATATATCATTCGTCTATGTGTTTGTTTGATTCTTTTTTCTCACGTTTTTTTTTAACAGTTTGTTTTGGAAGGACATTTGACCTGCTATCTGCAATTCTTAGGATAGCTTCTGGAAGCCATTGAAAATTGCTGTCACTTTTGCATCATCCAGTTTCCTGTTAACAAGCTTGTGTAAAGTGATGTGTTACAACCAGTTAGTAGTTCAGCAATTTCATATTTACTTTTGATTGGATTTTATGGATCTGTTTTGAAAACCTATTTAACAATAAACACCCTTATAGGAAAAAACCAAAACAAAACCCCCCAAAATAGAAAAGAGAATCTGTATTCTAAAGGTACTTTTCTAGGGCAGTGGAAATAAAATCACAAACTAATATTTTTTTTCTAATCTTTTGCAGGTGTTAGGCCTTTTGCTTGTCCTCACTGTGACAAAAAGTTTAGAACGTCGGGCCACCGGAAAACACATATTGCTTCACATTTTAAACATACTGAACTAAGAAAGCTGAGACATCAACGTAAACCTGCAAAAGTTCGAGTAGGAAAGACGAGTGTTCCAGTACCAGACATTCCCTTGCAAGAGCCCATACTCATAACTGATTTAGGTAAAGAGCAAGTAAATCTGTGCCGTCTTGAAATTTGGATTTCACTGGAAAATAGAGGTCATGGTTTGATCAAGCAAACCCATTCAGAGCTTACTGGGAAAGATGTACTTTGAAATAAGTCCATCAGAAATAATCAGGCTTCACAAAAGTGCCATATTTTGTATTTTGCTTGCACTAGAATTAATAAGAAGAGTCTTTCTTTATTTACAGAGAAATTGTATAATCCTTACCAGAAGAAAGTGTGTGCATTTTTACATTACGTTAAGAGAGAAGTTAATTTAAGCTATTGTTAGACTGTTGGTATAGAAAACATGACAGACAGTTCATGACCTAGATTCTTCATAAGATGATCATATTTATTCAAATTACATGTATTAAGGAGTTGGTGTGTTATATGATTTTAGTGTATTTGTTACTATCATGACCTCAGCTGAATTAGTGGTAAAGGGCAGAATAATTCTGGAACGTACTATAGAGAATTCATACAGTTATTTTAATTCTGTTGTAGAATAATTGTTACAACATTACGTAAAACCACTTTTTGGAAAAAGGTAAGTTGTTGTACAGCTCAATCAAGACAGTATATATTGTTGTCCTGTAGAGGTCAATGTAGTGGGCAAGGCGTTTACTCTTCATTGTTATTTGACTCACCAGTCTGCTAACCTCTGCCTTGTGTGCTGTGTAGTCATCTTTATATAGTAGAATATTACATTGGTAATATCTTTAGCCTAAAATCTTTATCACTCTTTAAAAGTCCTTCTGCTTTCACTGCTTCCAAGAATTACCATCTGCAAGAGTAGTGGTTATTTTGGTATTGGGTATAAGAAACTTAAATTTTCAGACTAGCAGCAAAACTTAACTGACAGCTTCAGATATTCAGATCACACAGTATTTCTTTCTTGAGTGAACCCTGGAAACAGGTACACTCCTATTTCTTGAATTTAAAAAAAAAGAAAAAAAAGCACTTCAGTACAATTAAGATCTGTGCGGTGAAATTCCGTTTTTTGGAAAAAAATTTAATATTAACAAAAAAGAAATACTATAAAAGTTGTTTCCTACGGGTACTGATAACACGTGAACTCTGCTGATATTGGAGTGTTCAATGTAAAAATAAGAAGTTCCACCATTTGTCTAGAAGGTGTCATGTTTTTTCAGCCCACTGACAATATTTCCACTGTTTCCAGAAAAAAAAATACTCTTACTTCTTTTAGAGGTGTCAGGAAACTAGTATTGTTGCTCTGTATTAGTGTTAATCTTCGAGTGGCACCTTTTGACAGAAAAAAAAAGAATAAGTGTTGATACATATTTTACTTTTTAAAAAAGTCTAAATTATTCTAAAAGTCTATAAAAAAGTCCGCAAATTGTTCTGTACCTGTTACAATGTTGTTTCATTTTATTGTGTTAGTTGATGGTATTTATTGAGTAGGAAATGCAAAAAACTTACTGTCATTTTTCTAGCATGTACTGTGGTTCCAAAGATGGAACTGATGGGAGAAAAAAATACCTTTTTATAGAACGTTCCCACTCAGAACTATTTTGCTGACTTGCTATATCCAGTGTAGAGCCACCTTTAACTATTCTAACAGTTTGGAGAAATGTTTCATTTATCCGAGTTGAACTGGTTGAGTAAATAGTTTGGAAGTGTTTTATTAGGAATTTCTGTTATGTATCTTACTAGGAAATTCTGTAGTACTTCTGTAGACCAGAACCACTGAAACTGGGGATATGCTCACAAGTTTGCTATCATTCATTCTAAGAGTTAACTGAATTATTCTGCTTTTGTATAATCAAAAATAACTGAGAGTAAATATTTGTCATACAGAGTTCCTTTTCCTTCTCTTCTGATTTGGAAGACTTGTGTCATCTCCTGTACACTACTACTAATTACCATCACAGAAGAATGCCAGAAGGGATTTAGAAAGTAGGGTTGTGGGTTTGGTTTTGGTAGGGTTTTTTTGGTTCGGTTTGGTTTGAGGTTTTGTGTTGGTTTTTGGGGGTTGTGTTTTTTTGTTTTGGCTTGGGTTTTTGTTGTTGTTTTGTTTGGGGGGTTTTGGTTTTGGTTTTTTTTTTTAAGGGAGAATGTTTTTACTAGGCCAACTGAGTTGGTGAAGGTGAAGGAAGTTTTGGCACACATGTATTTATAAATATATATATATATGTATAACACACATATGTATACATAAACTTATTCAAGTCTGAGACAGGTAAACTTGTTATTTTTTCATTGTTGCAATCTCCTCTCAAAATTGAGAGGATTCCCTCTCCTTGTCTTCTGCTCTTTTCAAGTAAATGTGAAATTCAGCAGACACCCTTTAGGCTTTCTTTTCTGAATATGAAACATAGCATGCTAGGTGAAGCAGTATGAAGAAGGAAGAGACAGCATAAAAGGCTTCTGTGGTGAATATTTAGGACCACAAAGGGATCTTTTGCATGTTTGTTGAAACTTTTCATTACTCTCTCAGCCTTGTATATTAGTGTTGTGATGAGTACTTTTGAGTTCACTGATGTGTGAATGATGATGAGTTTGTTTACTTGAGAAGTCTGCTACTGTTCCCATTCTGTCATGGTGTTTGGGATGAGATATCCTTCTGTTGGCTGCTTCTGAGACAGCATACTCTTGTGTTAGCAGTTGGACATTTAGTAGCAGGAACTTTTAACTGATTTTCCAAATTGACACTTGACTGACTTCAGGGACCAGTGTATAAACAGCATTTGTTTAAGTAAGTTGGTTTGAGGTTTTGGTTCCCCCCCTGCCCAAATACATTTTTGGAGGTCCCCAGAGAATTAGCAAGACTGACTGATTAGCTAAAGTAGATGTGATGTACAAATAGAACAATTTTTAATGGGCTTTTTTATCCTTTAAGTAAAGGCAGATATATATTATGGTGTTTTGTACTTTTCACAAAATGCATATTAAACATTTGTCAAGTTAAAATGTATATCTGGGGTACATTGATTCAATGTCATTTGGTTAAGGTGGAGGTTGGAAGAGCAAAATATTATTTGATTAGCAGTGAAGTCATAACTGTCAGCTTTTTTTAAAGTTAATGCTTATTTTGGACATATGTGAGGCTTGATGTGATGAGGCGGACCTATGGATATAAGAAGAGCTATCACTAAAATAGATAGCATGTGCAATATAATATGTATAATGCTAAATAGATGCATGCATAATTTTAAGTGCTGAAAACATGCTCATTTTCTTTATTTTCTTGCATACTAAAAGTTTAGTCACATTTTTTTCGAATACTAGCTCTTCAGACTGCTGCAACTTTGGAATAACTTTACGAATTAATTTTTCCTTTTTGTGTGTGTGTGTTTATGTGTGCAGGTCTTATCCAGCCAATCCCAAGGAATAGCCAGTTCTTCCAAAATTATTTTAACAATAATTTTGTGAATGATGCAGACAGACCATACAAATGTTTTTATTGCCATCGAGCCTATAAAAAATCTTGTCATCTTAAACAACACATCAGGTAAAATAAATACAAAGAAGAAAGGAAATGTATGTAATAACAAAATTTATGGAAAAGCATGAATTTATTTAGTGTTCACTGAAAAGACTTCCTTTTTTACCATCTCTTAGGTAGTGAACCAGTGATAATTGATTTTTCTGGTAAAGTTGGAGGAGGCTTTGGACTAGTTCATACCGATGTGCAGTCCTAGTGGTTGTGTTCAGTGTGCAGTTTAGCTTATTAACACTCAGACTGTTTTTTCCTAAACTATGTATAGGAAATAGCAAGCATTGCATGTGGGGTTTTTTCGTAATTTTGTAATTGCATACTGCAGATCATCTGCTTTGTATGTAACTCCTATTTTTTGAGAAGGAAATCAGCTTTTTATTGTGTGCGCTGTTTTCTGGGTAGTAAACCTAGAAGAATTTAGGCTTACATTGTAATCGAGTACAGGTTCTTGGGGATCATTTTGTTGCTTGAAGTTCTGTTCAAGTTCCATATAGTGGGTGTTTGTTACAACCACAAGGTTATGGAGTCACAGAAAAATTTAGGTTGGAGGGGAACTAATCCAACTTTGTTTTGAAAAGAAAGGGTGGCTTCAAAATTAGATGGGATTGCAGTTTTACAGGCAGTGAGCTTTGACATCTAGTCGAGTTATCAAACATTGCTGCTTGATAGATAAACTATGAATAACTGGAGGAGAAAACATGAAAAAAACCACCAAAGATGATTACTAGGATTTAAGGAAAGATTCCATACAAGTGGGTGGCAATCTGCTTGTTTCTGCAATGTAAGCTTTGTACCACTTTATCACTTTCTCTAATTCAAATTGTGGCGAGTTCCTCATGTTCTCCTTACAAGTCAAGTTCTGTGTTGGTAGGTTCTCAAACTGGCTTGAAACAGTTCTTGGTTTCTATATGCTCTCTTAACGAGAGGGGGCAAGCCTTGCAATACCACATCTTTTCCTTCTATAATATCCTATCTAGATTTCTCACTGTCTTTTGTAGACACAATCAAGCTGGATTGATTTAAATCAAAATAATTTTAAAGTAGTAAGTGTTGCTGGTTTGCGTCATTATGACCTTCGATGTCCTTCATTGAAATAGTTGATTTTAATTGTGTTTCACACTTGTCTCTCTGTTTTATTAAAATAACTGTCAATGGTTAGTTAACATTAAAATGTTTGTTGCCACTAAAGAGGGCCATAGCTGCCTAAAGATGGCCTTATTTAGCCTAAATATAAGCTAAATTTATGCATATTTTACTGAAGCATTTACGTAGTTTACGGTTTTATGTAGATTCATAACTTTTCATCTTTCATTTGTGTTAGAGAAATATAGCTGACTACCTAGTTCATTTTTCTTTCACAGTTTTGTCAGAATTCTTTGAATGGAAATTGAAAAGTGTTTTTATTACACAGAACATGAACAGCTTATTGCTTAAACAATTGGTTTACATGCACTGAATTCTCAATTATTTTTTTTTCTTGTCAGAATACACTTAGTGTTTGAAAATTCTGTTCTTCAAATGCCTGTGTTTGAATTCGTTCTGCTGTTGGGTGTACACACACTCCAGCTCAGGATAAACTATCTTTAAAAGCCTCGTTGCTTATTATGTGCATCTTTGTTCTTCTTCTCCCATACTGAAAATACTAAGATGTGATGGGGCTACCAGTCACTCGCCCCTGTGCTTCTTTCTGATTGATCTTTTCAACAAAGTACTTCAGTGAAGCATAGCTTAGCTTGGCTTTGTTAGGGGTTTTGTAGAGGAATTAGAAACTTTTCTCTTTTTCCATGTTTGTTCTTTGTAAGTTGGCATCGGTATACCTAAACTACTAGACTTGATGCTTGTGTGGTTAGTCTGTCTTCACGGAGTGGTGCTGATCATTGCTTAGAAAGCTTGTTTCCCTCTCTGAAAACAGAGGGAAATTTGTAGTAGGGGTATTTTCAATAGAGCAGTGACTGAAGAAGCTCTGTGTGTCAGATTCTCCCACAGGCACACCAGGGAAAGGTTGGGATACCCCATTGCTGATATCCGTAGATGTATATTGGTAGCAAAACAGTAATCTTGATATCTGTCACGCTTCTTTATGATGGTGTCTGATGTGGTGACCATAGACTTCTAAGGATACTGTAATCATAAGCCATCCCTAACTTTTCCCAGTTTTATTAAATCCTCCTTCCTTTATCTTCCATTTCCTAGCATTCACATTGCTTTCCCCCTAGCTCTCATTCCTGGGATGCTACAGTCATAATCCTTAAAACTCTCGTTGCGCTCAGCTCCGTTTCCTAACCTGTCCTTCAGTCTGTTTTATATCTCAATGTGGTCCTAAAGGGAAACTCCTCCAGCACCTCTGGAAGGAAGGATATAGTGAATGGGATGTGTTGATAGTATAGGTGAGAGAGGTTCCCCACTTGATTATTGTTTTCACATAGCAGTCTGAAAGACTAGTTGTACTGTGCCTTGTTCAGGGGGTATTCGGGGTGGACACAGTTCGTTTCCCAAAAATTCTGTTATTAAACGTAGTAGTAGTATGTAGTATGAGGAGGTCAGTATATTTTTCTCCAAACTTTCGTGGTCATTGTTTTAGCTCAATTGAGGAAAATATATGCAAATGATAATATACTGGTCTGAAGAACCTAGTACGTTATCTGGCATGGAAAAATTCAACCCAAATGTTTTAACTGAGGCAAAGTATGATCAGAAAAGGAAATTGGACTGCAGAACATAAAATTGTCATGTAGTATTGCTTCTAGCTCTGCCAGTGATGACGTGTGGGTTGTTTATAATTTATTAAAGCTTTAATTTCTGGATTTTCTTAACTGAGGCCTCTTCCATCCATACAGCAGTCACCTTAGTTTGGTTTATTTTGCTCATTTTAAAATTCAGTCTTTTAATACCTTTGTAAATCAAACTGTTAAATCTACTTTAACTTCTGCTCTCTCTTAAAAAGGTCACATACTGGTGAAAAGCCATTTAAGTGCTCTCAGTGTGGAAGAGGTTTTGTGTCAGCTGGAGTTCTGAAAGCACATATTAGAACACACACTGGATTGAAAGCTTTTAAGTGTCTTATATGCAACGGGGCCTTCACTACTGGTGGTAGCCTCAGGCGACATATGGGGATCCATAATGACCTTCGACCGTATATGTGTCCATATTGTCAAAAAACATTCAAGACATCACTAAACTGTAAAAAACACATGAAGACTCATAGGTATGTTTATAATTTTTATATGAATCCTTCAATATATTTCAGTAGACCTTCCTTAAAGATACTTGGAAAGGCAGCTTTGCTCTGTAGCAAATGCTAATAATTGAATAAGGATGTTTGTTTATGGGTAACAAACACTTAGGTAGCTCTGAAGGTATACTAAATTATGGTGTATAATAAAAATAAATTTTTTTTTCATGTACTAATTAGGCTAACTGTCTAACTGAAGCCATGAAAAGACCTTCTTACCTTTCTTTGCAGATACGAACTTGCACAGCAACTTCAGCAGCATCAGCAGTCTGCTTCAATAGATGACTCTACAGTAGATCAGCAGAGCATTCATGTTTCTACACAGATGCAAGTGGAGATTGAAAGTGATGAGCTACAGCAGTCAGAAGCTGTTACAACAGATCAGCAGGCTATTTTAGAGTTAGACCAGCAGCCAGTAGTAGGCACAGAAGAAACAGCACTAGAACAACAATTGGCTGATCAGCCTTTAGAGCAAGATGAGGGTGAGTATTTGAAATATGATAAGGTTTATAATGAGGTAAGTTTACAAGTTCTCAAATAACTTTTACTTCAAAAATGTCAATGATTTGAGTTTCAAGACAATGCAAGTAAACAACTAGAAAAGTACATGGAGTAAAAGCTAACTACTTAAAGTTTATTGTACCATTTCTTTCATTCATTGCTGTGTGGGTTTACTGTTAAAAATACAAAGGTTGATTAAGGTTTTCACCATTTAGTTGTATCAAACAAAACTACTAAACAAATATATAGAAAAATAATACTATGTGCACAAAACTTTACCACATCACCTCTATTATTAATAAAAAACACTGCTATATAGTCTACTTAGGAAGTAATACCTGTGTTTTGAGATGGGAGAGTACAAAATATTTCGTGTACTTATTCTATTACTAATTAGTGGAACAAAGTATTTTGGTTTTGCTTATTTGCTCTTTTTCATGGTGTAATGAGTTAGCAAGTACTACAAAGGAATATAAATAAAGCCTACAATAAGGAAAGATTTAAATGCCTATTCGGCTAATAATTTTCTATTTATTTTTAATGCAGTAAAAATTCAGATGACTACAAAATGTAGGTTTTTGGGAACAACTGAATTATCCAATTAATTACATAATCTTTCTTTACATTTTTTCCTTCCTTTTTCTTCTCTCCTACCCCCCCCCCCTTCTTACTTTACCCATTTCAGATAGATTTGTGACATCCCAGCATGCTTTACAGGAGAACATCACTCAATTTGAACAACAAGCTATAACACAGCAGCCATTTGATCAACAGGGCTTATCACAAGGTTAGTAATAAATAATGGGGTTTAAAGTGATTTTTATAGATCTGGCTTTACAGCATAGTTATCATAAAGCATTTCAAAAGTGGGCATCCACAGGCAAAGTAACTGCAATGCAGAGAACTTGCAAAAACTTTTTCTTAAATTACTGTTTTGAAAGTATATTTGGTGGAATGTTTTGAATAGTTAAATATAAATGGATTTTGCTTTTATGAGCCGATATTTAGTCATTACGGTATGGGGTCTGTAGTCAGGCACTTCATATTCTTTCCTTGATTGTGTTTGAAATTGCTGTGGCAGTAGGCAGTTTACACAACTTTCCCCCTAAATATGCGTGCTCGTAATCTGAAATGATAAGAAACACCATCTAAGATTTGACTGAGTGGCTGTTGGGATTTATTATGGAATAAGTGCAAAATACAATAATGTAAAAATCATACTTTCACCTAACCACAGCAGTTTCCTTTTGTATTTTATAAAGCTACATAAGTAACAAATAAAGAGATTGTAAACATTCAGAAAATCTTTTTTTTTTTTTTTTTTTTTTAATCTACAAAATAGTGAGAAATAGTGTAAAGCTTATGTCACCCGCAGAGAATGAAGAAAAGACTGTGTTCCTTTGCTTTTCACTGCTGGATTTCTTGAGTTGTTGCTTGATATGAAGCTACTAGTTTTGTTTGGGGGTTTGGGGGGGGGGGGGGGGGGCAGGGAAAGGGGAGCTATGTTTAAGGCATTTACATTTCTTTTGGTTGGGAAGTATACCTCACTGGCTGACCAGTCAATCCTCTTCCTCCTTGTTTCTGACTCCAGCAAATAACTTCATACTTAGATAACTGGTAACCAGTAATTGGTATTCCATCTGCTTAAACTTCTCTGTTCTTCATTTCATTCCCTGTTGAAGTATATAGTGCCTTTTGTAAAACGTAATTGACTGTGCTAAGTTGAATGACGATGTGAAGAAATAGTATAGTTTGTTGCCGATTTTAATTCTCTAGGTTGTACTGCTTTGTATGTGACTTAAAAAAATATTTAAGTGTCTGCCTTTATTAAACAAGACTGAACCAGGTCCTGCTAAAACCCTATGGATTATTTTCCTTGGTTGCCTTTTACAGTTTTCCAAGTGAATGAGAAGACACTACAGAAAAAAAGTGCAACCTTTCACTCTGTGTTACTCTTAAGAGTGGTGGTGGCTTTTGTTTGGATTTTTACAGCTCCTTTGAATTTGAAAATCCAATACATAAACCTTGTTTTGTTATCTTATTTAGACTTCAGTTTCTATGTATGTGTATCTTCTCATTAAATAAATATGGAATACTGAGTGATTTCTTGGGGAGGGGGGAGACTATTCTAAATCTCACAAAACAATTCTTTCATCACCAGAAATCTAGGCTGATCATCGGTACATTATAAAATTGGTACAGAGAATCAGAACATTTGTGGTGTGGTTTTTTTAAGTCTCATTTGTATAAGATGTCTCCTATTCTACTTGGAATCTCATCCACAGATTCCCAACTCTTTGAAGTTTCCTTGAAGATCCTGGAGCCCTTCAAAATTTTTGAATTTCAGGTAGGTAAGCATTTGCGCGGATGCATGCGTTAAATTGGTCGACCCTCTCCCTATGTCTGCATCTGTGCTTCATGCTCCTAATTTCTTTTTCCTGTCAGCTAGGCAGAACATTCAAGCTTAAAACACTATGTCTTTTTTATCCTTTATATTTATAGGCTGTATTCTTGTGAAAATATTTTGGCTCAGTGTTTATTAATAGAAAAACATAGGAGTTTTAAAAACTCTTTGGTAGGTTTTTTGATTTTTCTTTTTCATTTGATGAAAAAAAGAAAATCTTTGCGTTTCAGACAGATAAGGCTGATCTCTAGGCTGCACAGACCTGTCAGAACTTTGTTTATTCTTTCAGGTTTGTTTGTAATACTTCTACAGAATTTCTGATTTGTTCAGATAGATTTTCTTGATCTGTTCAGACTTGTAAAGAAGTGCAGATCTTATGAGGGTGCTGCTGTATTATAATCTGTTACTCATATGAGCTAGATTTGAAGACTAAGAAAAAGAACTTCAGTGTTCTTTGTAGTTTACATATTCAGCCATCTTCATCTGAAGACTTGTTAGTGAGGTCAGAACAACCAAATGGATCTTTTATCAGAGAATGTCTTTGGGTTATTGAATATCGTCTGTCACCAAATGTGTTTTCATATAGATTATGTCACCTTTTCTTCCTTTAAAGTCTCCCTGTAAGCATGATTGAATGTTAATAATCAGTGGTCATAGGAGAGTGATTTTGAAAAACTGCAAGTCCAAATACTGTTATTCTGTAGCCCATACAAATATACCCTTGCCACCAGTCTGCTGTTCTGCTTTGCTAAGAAGTTGATCTGCAATTTCAGGACTTGGAATTCCAATACTTTCAGTAGATCTTTACAGATTGACTCTGGTCAGTACTGTTCAGCTAGTTCCCAAAAGTTGCCTAGGAGGCAAACCTGCAGAACATTTAAATTTTAGTCACTGACCCCCACTGAGATGCACATGTGCATGTAGATATGTTTGTAATGTTAGAATTCAAATGATCTGTCAGTAAAGACTTCCAGTTTTGTCTGAAGTGAAATGCTGTATTTGCTATGAACTATCATACTGTTGTTTTCTTACTCAGCTGTACAAGACATATCTTTCCACTACTAAACTGATTTCCAGAGTATTCTGTTTTTTCAGTATGTTTTGTTAATGTGGAAGAGATTAGGTTGGATGATGTCCTAAAGCCAAGAAAAAAACAAGCAATGCAAATGATTACTTGTACTGAAATAAAACAAAATCCAATTTCAAGTTTAGAGGACTTTGTAGTAAGAGACTCCTCTTATTATACAGAGCTTAAGATGCTCTCTGTTCTTTGAAGATTAAGCAAAAGCTTCTGGGAAACAATATGTAATGGTGAAAACAAGAGCAGAAAATAAAGGTTCTGAAATTTATTTCTCTCTCTCCCTCAGACTGAACGTCTGGTTTTTGGTGTGGTGGTTTTGGGTTTTTTTGGGGTTTTTTTGTTTTGTTTTTTTTGAATGCTGTTCTGTAGAAATAGTATGGTGGTAGCAAATGCCTTTAGCATGCTCAAAATTGTCAGATCTTTTTAAAATTTTGAGTGGAAATTGACCTTCATGCTAGGTATTGAGCAAAATGGGGTTGCATCATGCATATTCTTGCTAAAGTGTTGGTTTATATTTATTCCAGAACTACCTTCAGAAGTAGTATTTCTTCAATTTGTCCCCAAATACTTCTAAATTCAGAACTTTTCTTCCTGAGTGTTTTGTTGCATGATCCTGGGAAATTTTTCAGGATGTCAATATTTGCTTTTATTAAAACACTGTGAATCGAAACAGGTCATGGTATAGTAATTTTTTTTTTCTTTCTTCGCTAGTAGAAATTACTTACCAATTAAAAAAAAAGTTTCAGGTTTTTTAGATAGCTGTTTCTTTGTACATTTAATAGTTATGTCCTTTTTTTTTTTTTTTTAATGTAGGGCATAGAAGTGGCATCACTTTAGCTTCACTTTCTTGAGGCTCGTTTTTTTGCATTCTCATCAAGTGTAGTGGGAATACCATTTTTCCAGAAAGGTGCTTTTAAAATGTATTGCAAAATAGAAAGTAGCCACCTGCTTATCACCTTAAAGCTTTGCATCGCTGCTCTTCAGGCTACTTTTTTATTTTGTGTTTTCACTAAGAGTAATTGAGGTGCGAGGTTCAGCTTGTTGAATCTTTTTTTCTTCTAATCTTGGTAGTTCTAGGAGAGAAAATAATAAATTGCAGCATTAGGTTTGGTGATAAGTTACAACCTGACTAATAATGCTTTCAAGATTTGTTTACATTTGTTAGCTTTCATTCTATGGTGTAAGCAATAGCATACAAGTAGGTTTTTTTTTTCCTATATTGATAACAGTAGTCTTCTGCTGTGAAAAGTGTCTTTTGGGAAATTTCTGCTTAAACTTAACACATCCCAGTTTTAGATAAACTGTAATTCAAAATGTTCTTTAAGCATTGCTTTTTGGCCTTTGATGCTGTGATCATCTGATGTGGGTTTGTTTCTACCCTGTTTTCATAATCTTCATCCTTTTTGTCCGCTAAAGGCAAACTGCACAGAAATAGTAAAATTGCTGCCCTTACCTTAATTACTGATACTTGTGGTGTAATTTTTTTCCACATAACTTTTTTTTTTTTTTTTTTAATATTAGAAATATTAGGGCTTAGAGAGGTTGATAAAAGGGCATTTCTAATAGCATTAAAAAACGCTGCAATCTGAGCTATGCTTTCCTGGCTCTGAATCATTGATACTATCATTTCATTCATTCATTTAGGCAAAGGAGGTGATTAAGATCTGATATTTCAGAAGAACAAAACCGAATAAAAATTTCAGGTCTTTATACTGGAAATGTGAATAAAAATATGTTTATTTTTTACTTTGCAGTTTGCCTTTGAGAGGCTCTACTTTACTATTATCTAAAGAGTGGGAATATGTGGAGGAGATCCAAAGTAGGAGAAAATGGGGTTACTTTATCAGAAACTGGAGTTCTCCTATTGGGTTATCTCCTCCACTCACCCGCCATCCTCCCCACTGAGCTTTGCATCCTTGTGATCGGCTTCCAGTGTAGTTAAGGGAGCGTGGTACCAACGTGGATAAAGGGAGATGGGTCAACCTGTTTGACACATGCATGCTTACATACAAGAAATTCAAAATTTCAATGGCTCTAAGGTAATTGTGGCACCCCGAAGAAACTTCAAACAGTGTTTTTCTGTGGAGGAGATTTTCCAATAGAATTCCAGCTAATGGTAAGTAACCCTATTATGCATATTACATAGATGCCAGAAACATTTGTGTATTTTGACACTCAACAGTGAAGTGTATAAAATGAGTATTACTATATGGTAATACTACCTAGTCTCCTTTGAAGGTAGTCTTCAAAAAAGTGTGGTGTTATTCAAAGACCAATTCAGTGTTTTTTCCAGGTTTGTGACTGTTTAATTTCTGGCAGGTTTTACAGTAAATGACAGCTACAATCAACAGACTCAATTTCCAGCTGTACAGCAGCTGCAGGATTCAAGCACACTTGAATCTCAGGCTCTTTCAACGAGTTACCATCCACCAGCTCTTCTTCAGGTTCCAAATACAGACACTATTAACGTAGTAAGTACTGCTAGAAGGCAGAATTCATTGTTTGGTGTTCAGTGATGAGTTTCTTTGAACTATTTGGTGATTAGGTAAACTGAGAAGTCAGAAGAGTTTCATGATTTCTTTTCTAGAATTTCTTGCTTATGTTTAACAACTGGAAAATAAAAGGTGGGGAGGGGGGAGGATAAGTGGACCTGGCTACATCTTTCTGAAAAAAGAGTCGTATGTTTTGATGCTTTAGGCTTAAAAAAGGATATAATGCTTTAAGTTGGATTGTAAGTCTAAAACTAAGGAAATCACCTAATGTTATGAAATAATTTTACATTATTGCACTATATTCTGTGCTAATTCTTTAATTTCTGTGCATATAGATATGATCAAGCAATAAAAATAACATTACAAATGTGCAGTGATCATTCATGGAGCTTGTGTATTGCAGTGTATGATGTTCTTTTGTGGTTCTCATTTTATTAAATTGTAGAAAAGTTTAGTTGCTAAAAGTACAGTTTAAATATAACTTTTTATGATGGTAGCATTACCTAGCATGAAGACCATCTGTAGTAATGTGTTTACCATGATGACCTGCATGAATTATTGTCCCTTAATGCTCACTTGCAAAGGGATAATGTTGGTCAGGGATCTGAGGTGCGTGTTAGGATCTGGAAGAGTTTGAGTAATTTCAGCCTACAGGCTTTGGAGTTTTATTCTCTTCAAATCTTAAAACATGCTGTCATTCTCAAGGATTATTCTGTGGTGGTTTTTGCTTAGAGGAAAAACCTATTCAAAAAGCTGTGAAGTCTGTCAGCACCACTGTGCATTTTACTACTCAGTGTGGGGCCCATACTGTTTAAAGCAGCTGCTTTAGTGTTAAATTTAACCCCTCAAACAACAGAAAATCTGTGAGACTCAAGACATGTTTTTGCATAGATTCACAGAAGTTTAAGTGCACCACGTTGTCTGTTTATTCTGATTCAGTAGGTGCACATTTTGCTGTTTTCCTTCTCACTATGAAAGAGCGAGGTATCATATTGCACTCTTAACTTCTTGTCAAAAATTTACGAAAGCATAAATTTGATTACTTGTGTTGACTGTAAATGCTGTAATTATTTCTTGCCTATTTGTGTGACTTTATTTTGTGTCATTGTGTTATTGAAATTTACTTGAGGCTTTGTTCTAGACTACTCGCTTGATACAAGATCAGTCATCACAAGAAGAGCTTGAATTGCATACCCAACGGCCTCATTTTCTTGAGGATAACGAAGATCAAAGCAGGCGTTCATATAGGTTTGTTATACTTTTAGGTTCTGTTACACAATTTCCTGAATCTTTTATGGCTAGTAATTATATGCAACTAACGAAAAAAAATTTCTTCCAATAGGTGTGAATATTGCAACAAGGGTTTTAAGAAATCCAGCCATTTGAAACAACATGTACGATCTCATACTGGTGAGAAACCTTATAAATGCCAACTCTGTGGTCGTGGCTTTGTTTCGTCAGGAGTTCTTAAGTCACATGAGAAGACTCATACAGGTAACAGAGTATACCAGCTCTGTATTAGCTTAACTCACGTTTGGGTTTTGTGAAAGTGCTGTATAAGTGAACTTAAACAAATGGCATGCTACTTATTTGTTTCTGTTACTTTAAGGAGTTAAAGCATTCAGCTGTAGCATTTGCAATACCTCCTTCACAACTAATGGCAGCCTTACCAGGCATATGGCAACTCACATGAGCATGAAGCCTTACAAGTGCCCATTCTGTGATGAAAGCTTTCGAACAACTGTTCACTGCAAAAAACATATGAAAAAACATCAGGCAGTCTCCTCAGCTGTAGCAGCAGCTACAGAATCAGGAGGGGGAGGTAAATTATTTCATTTTTACTCTTACAGTCCTTACTACGTAACAAGTACAGATGTTTCAGTGGATTTCATGAATGCTGTGACAGTAATGTTATAAATTAGCCTTCCAGCATGGATAATGTCTAATGTCCAGAGCCACTGAAATTGCTGTGTTACCTAAATTGTTTAAAGAAATCAGTTTTCCAGGAGTCCGTCCAGTGTATTCAAGTTATTGTATGTTACATAGTTATTTTAGTGTGTCACTAAAGTAGAACATTTTTTGTCCTGAATACTTATACCTGTATTTAATTATTGTAAAAATAAGAATTATAAATCCAGCATTATTTTAAAAGCAGACATGAGTAGTTAGACCTCTGACAGAGATTTAAGTCCAAGCATGTAATGTAGTGGCCATGTGTTTAATAATAAACCCTTCTATTTTTGTAATTTCTGCTGGCAGATTAAACTAAACAGACGTGTGTATTTTCTTTTTTTTTTTTAATAGTTGCATGTGTTGAAGATGATGATGAAAATTCTGAAAGAACTTCCAGAAAATCTCGTCCTGGTGTCATAACTTTTACAGAAGAAGAAACAGCAGAACTGGCAAAGATCAGGCCTCGAGAAAGTGCCACTGTCTCAGAAAAAGTTCTTGTCCAGTCTGCTGCAGAGAAAGACAGAATTAGTGAGATCAAAGATAAGCAAGCAGAACTTGAAGCAGAGCCCAAATATGCTAACTGTTGTAGTTATTGCCCCAAAAGCTTTAAAAAACCCAGTGATTTAGTCAGGTAAGGAATGGAGAAGTTTTGCGTATTTTCAATTTTCTAGATTGTTCACCAGGAACTTTGCAGTAAGAGTTTCATATAACTTTTTTATTCCTAAGCTAAAGTTTGACTCATATTTACATACATTTTTCTTTTTTGGAACAGTTTAAAAATATGTGTCAAAATGTTATATATTCTGAATATGACTAAACCAGCCTTTTCATATTTCTTTTCCTGCAGTATTAAAATTATTATTATGAAGTTTAAGAATAAATTACTCATTTCTTGTTGTAGGACTTGCATATAAAAACATGTAAAAATCAGTTTGAAAAAAGGCAAATGCTTAAACCATCTTCTTTACTAGTTCTGCTTAATGTAATGTTAATATAAGTATTCAATTAATTCTAAAATTAGTAAGATACAAAATAAATATTTCTACAAACTGACGTAAGAGTAGAAATTCACATATACATGTATTCTGGAATTATTAGGCATGTTCGTATCCATACTGGAGAGAAGCCATATAAGTGTGAAGAATGTGGAAAGAGTTTCACCGTAAAATCCACTCTGGATTGTCATGTTAAAACGCACACAGGTCAGTAAGATTTTTGAATGTCTTTGTTTAGAAACTGGTTACTTTCTTGACAGGGTATTTTAACTAAAGATTTTTGCAAGGAATGGAATGTTTCACCATGATCTGGGAAATGGCACTATGAGTGGCAGTGCTAGGTGAAATTTGGTGCTTATGGCATCATCAAATGAATCGTATTATGGTACTTTGAATAAACAGTATTATTACAGCCTTCTGTATTAGTAGGCTTATAAAGCAGTCATAGTCTTAGCTCATGGAAAAACTACGTATTCTATTAGAATACATAGAATTCTAATAGAATTCTTATTATTCTATTCCCTAACTATTTAATTTCAAATCTGCTGTAGCATTTCAATGCTAAATGATTTTCCCGAGCAAGAGGGTGGTGTGGGAGAATTTTATAAAATTAAGTTAAAAAAATTCTAAATGTAAACATTTGTTTTGCTATGTAGATTGAAAAATAAAGACTACAAAATTTGAGCTATTTGAATCATGCAAGCTGAATATAAACCTAATTTCTGTAATATTTAGGTTTTTACAGTAGTTTCTTTGTATTCCTGAGAGAGGTCTGATTTTAGTAGTATTTTTCAACCCCAATTTTGCACAAATTAAAAAAAACAACCTCTTTAAATCTTTTGTACTTGTTTTCTTCTTACCATTGATCTTTGGTAATAAACCCAATCCTAAACTAATTAATTTCTAAAACTGGCTACAGTTTTGCTAAGGTGCATTATAAGCTTTTTTAAGAATGAAGAAAAAAAAAAAAAAGAAAGCTTTTAATGCTGTGTCGTGGTTTAACCCCAGCCAGCACCTAAGCACCACACAGCCGCTCACTCACTCCCCCCTCACCCAATGGGATGGGGGAGAGAATCGGAAGGAAAAAGGTAAAACTTGTGGGTTGAGATAAGAACAGTTTAATAGAACAGAAGGGAAGAAAATGATAATGATGATAATAATAATAAATGGATTGGAATATACAGAATAAGGTATGCACAATGCAATTGCTCACCACTCGCCGACTGATGCCCAGTTAGTCCCCAAGCAGCGATCCCTCCCAGGCCAACTCCCCCCAGTTTATATACTGGGCATGATGTCACATGGTATGGAATACCCCTCTGGCCAGTTTGGGTCAGCTGCCCTGGCTGTGTCCCCTCCTGACTTCTCGTGCCCCTCCAGCCTTCTTGCTGGCTGGGCATCAGAAGCTGAAAAATCCTTGACTTAGTATAAACACTGCTTAGCAAGAACTGAAAACATCAGCGTGTTACCAACATAATTCTCATCCTAAATCCAAAGCATAACACTATACCAGCTACTAGCAAGAAAATTAACCCTATCCCAGCCAAAACCAGGACAAGCTGTAATATATAATTATTTTGCTCATGGAAGCTCCCTTTCCAATTCAGTGTATTTGTACTTTCTACGGTTGTTTAGTAAGAAATACCACTCTTGTGTGTTACACCAGATCTCTGTAGATCAGTATCTCGTCTCAGATAGTAGCAGATGCTAAGGATAATGAAAAGAACAAAGCAGGGATTTGATCATGTTCCACCAGGTTCAAGCAGTTTGCAAGCTGTGGGACTCTGAACTAGAGATTGTATCTTTTTGCTCACTACCTTTAATGGAATATTTTTCATTAGTTTTATCCAACTGTTTTCTGAACCCAGAAAAACTGGGTAAAAATGAATGGCCTCTAGTACATCTAGTAGTAATAAGTTCCTTGATTCAAATTTGGTTTTCAGTGTGCTATCTGATGATTTTGTTCTTAAGCCCACTAGTTCTTTTGTTCGAGAAGTAATGATTTTACAGACTTTTTAATAATATAAAACAGAACTTTGTAAAATATTGGTTTAATATCCTTAACAGATTTTTCCAACCTGTTGTTCATCCCCTATTCCACATTATATATATTACAATTTTGACTAGCTTGGGTTCTCACTCATGTGCTTAAAGAACTCCCTTGCTGACTTCCAGCCTTGTGAAAGTTTTCCACATAAACCTACCTTTTGTTTTCAGTCTTATAAGTGTTTTTCTTTAATTCTGTCCTTTTATCCTGTGACAATTTTTTCTAAGGTCCTTTCATATAAAACCAGAGTAAAACTCCAAAAATCAAGATACAGTTTTGTTGGTGAAAATCTAGTCTCCTTCAAAGAACTCTCATATATTTGTGAAGTATAATTTTGGCTACAAAAGCCACATCAAGTTTTCCCTATTATAACTAATTTGGTCTTGTGGCAGCTTTTTCCATTTTCTTTCATAATTGCGCCAGCTTGTGTTGGATGAAGTTTAACTGGTGTGCAGTTTCTGCATTTGAGCCTGGATCCCTTTTCAGAGGGCTGTTTTAATCTGTGGGCTACGCCTGCCGCTAATAGTTCATTGGTTTTATGTTGAGCCATACTTACTTTATTTAAATGATCAATAAAAAAACCCCTACACTGTCGTTGTCTGGAACTCCCCTAACAACAATTCAGTTTGAAAAGCTACTCTGCTCCTCATCTGTAAAAGAAATTTGCCTGGGTAGGAACCTACCTGACTTCATCTGTAATAAACATTGATGCAAATAGTTAGTTTGGGGTTTTACCGTAGCTTCTATTGTATCACCACCTTTCAGACCAGGAGGCTGGCTGGAAGTTTTTCTGTGACATATACGGTTCTTTGGCCAAACACTTAATTCCTGTAACCTGACGTAGCATATAGTGGAATAACTGAAGTCACACATCATTGTATTTCTGCCTTCATTGCTTTTCTAATTTCCTGTATATGTAACAGTTTTTCTTAACATTTTACTTGGGTAGCCAGTAGCATGGCATAATTGTAGATGCAATAAAACACTCAATTTTATTACATTAGGAAGCAATGACAATTAAGCATTTGCCATTCCTGTATGACTTTTCATCCCAATTTGTGTTCATCTTCCCTCCAAGTTTCCCTTGTGGCCACTAGCTCCTTGTCCATGTAGTTTGACTTTCTAGTTCATCCATCTTTCTTTTTTCTTTGCAGATTCCTGGTATTTATACAAAAAGCCCAAGAGTCAGGTCATAATCTGATTGAATATTTTAATGTTTTGTTTAAACGGAACTTCAGATGTTCAGTTTGTTCCTCGCTGCTTACTTTTTTTTGGTTAACTTTTCTTTCTCTGTGTGTCTTTTTTTTGTGTTGTTTTCTGGGTTTTTGGGGTTTTTTTTTTTTTTCATATCTCCCAATGAGTATTTTTTTTCTGTAGTGGAAAAGACTGCTAGACAGGTTTTTTGTGGACTCTGTATGTGGTAGACAGCTTTGCTGCAGCCCAGATCCGCATTGTCTTAATGGTTCATGTTACTCTTGGGCTCTTCTCCATTATTTAAAACAGAACATTGTCAGAGCTTTACTTAGTTTTGCTGAACAGAAAGTGACAACAATGTTAGGGTTTTGTAACCTAAATCTGTAATCTGAAGTAAGTTGAATTGTAATTCAGGAATTTGATGAGAGATTCTTCTGTGTGAATGGAAACTAGAACTCAATAGCAGGAATCATAGGCACACATTGGTTTTGTGACTTCTTTACCAACTGTGAATGACTAACATCACCAGAATACAGTAGTGCTTTCTGATCTGGAAATCAAGTCAACTTTGTTTTGGCGTTGATCTAATTGTTTGCCAGGTAAAAAGGGTAACTTAGTCACACTTAGTACTACTTTTTTTTTTTTTTTAAATGTATTTTTCCATCACAGCTATAGAGAAGTCTTGATTTTGTTCTTTGGTAAGGAAGCTATGCAAAATACATTGATTTCTTTCACTTCTTTAGCTAGGAAGCGATATTTTGCTGGAAGGCCTTGGAATTTCAGGATTTACAGTGGGTTTTCAGCTGCAGTGGCATGTTTTCTGCCAGATATTTACATTATGCTTTTTGTGAGTTGTACAATTGCACATATGGTTAATGAAACGAACTCTGTAGTTAACTGTTGTTATTTGTAGTACATTAAAAAATCCATTTGAGACCAAGGATTTTTTTCAAATGTTATTCAATCTGAAAGGAGAACAGAGAAAGAGGACCATATGTGTATAGACCAGATTTCTGTACTTCTAGATTACTTTGAGGTGGTTGGTATTTTGGTTTAGAATATTGTCTCACTTACAAATTCTATTCATTTCCTACTTGTAATCCATTAATACTAATCAGTATTGAGGTAAAGGCTGAAAAAGAAGAATAAAGCTGCTGGAATTAAAAAGGAAATGAGTAGCTAAGTAAGGAGAAGCCAAATGCACAAGAGGTCAAGATGAAACTTAATTCTCCAGTTTTATGAGCTGTGTACTTGAATCAACTTCATAGTCACAAAGGTGAGATGATGAGGAGGACAGAGGCATTAAGGGGACCAAACAAGATTCTGCATGAAAGTTTTAACAGCATATTGAGTTTTAGAAATAGGAAAAAATTAAGATATCCTTCATTGAGATCCTTAATTCATTTGAAAAGCAGTCAAAATTATAAAGAAAAAGGCTGGTTATTTCAAATTTATTCTGTTCAAATTAATTTAGAATCTGTATTTTTTTAAATTGTTGGTAGCGGTATTGATTTTTAGAGGTTTTATCACTTACCTTTCTGTTTTTGAAACTTTTCCAGGCCAGAAGCTCTTCAGTTGTCATGTATGCAGTAATTCTTTTTCTACAAAAGGGAGTCTAAAAGTCCACATGCGTCTGCATACAGGAGCAAAGCCCTTTAAATGTCCACACTGTGATTTACGGTTTCGTACGTCAGGGCGCAGAAAAACCCACATACAGTGTCATTATAAACCAGAGACAAAGAAAGTTAGGAAGCCTGTCTCCCGTACTTCAGCTGAGGGACTACAGCCAGTCAGTCTTCTTAATTCATCCTCAACAGACCCTAATGTTTTCATCATGAATAACTCCGTTTTGACGAGTCAGTTTGATCAAAATTTACTTCAGCAAGGACTTGTGGGCCAGGCTATCCTGCCTGCTTCAGTGTCAGGTAAAAATGGATGACTTTTTGGTGGTGGTGTTGAGATCAAGTACTGAACTTTGCTTTCTATTAGAGTTCAGAAAATTATGCCAAACGCTACTTCCAAACAGGTAAGAGTTGTACTGAATTCATGATTCGATGCACAGTGGTGACGTGAATAGAAATTCATTTATTTAAGAATGAAGGGGCAAATGAAGGGGAAATGAAGAGGTGCGGTTCACCTAAAAAGATCTCATTCAGTACTGTCGTGGAGTTAAACTGCAGAAAGGAAGGAAATAGAGATAATGAGTAGCTGGACTACTTGTGTTCTTTTTGGTAATACTCTGTTGCCTTTTCTTAAAAAGGAGAGAAGCAAAACAGTTATTCTGTAAGCTTTCCATTCCATAAGATTTATTTTGTATTCAAGCATTCGATCATAGAGCAAAGAAAAGTTTGTCTACACCAGTTACTTACATGAATAATGAAGAGTGTGTTTTAAGTGCACATGCTCTGCTGTACATGTGTAGTAAATAGTACAAACCACACACCCCCCAAAAACCCAACCAAAAACCAAAGAAAACATTTTAGCGATACAAAAAACTACTAGTGTAGGCATGTATGTTAAATAATTGTCTAGGATATGAAGTCTTACTAATTGACAGTGACTACAACTGCATTAGCACATTAAATGTGCCACAGACCATTCTTTGACTCTGAGGCCAAGTGGCACAGAACATCCAACGTACTTCATGTTGCAAGAAAATGACCTTTTGAGAATGATCCTTGCTAACTTCTAAATTGCTTTCAAGAATTGTTTGTGTAAGTACTAGCTGGCGTCAGGCAAAGTTGGGACACGGATGGTTTTAAAAGCAGAATAGTGTTCAGGTGTCTGGAAATGTTCCGTGGTATTGTTAAATTTACTACTTACGTTGTGGGTCTTGGACCGTCTGTCACTTCTGAAAGTGAGACTCTGATTCCCTGTGCTTCTTTGGCACCTTTTTTCAGTATGTGTCTGTGATTTTGAAGGTATGCCCACAAATTCACAGTAATGTATCGGTCTTATATTTAACTGTAGCCATTCCAGTTTATCTGATTTGATGTAAACTGTTGTCCAAAACCAGTAAATTGCTGGTTGTTCGGAAGATACTGGTAAATATTATTTGACAGGCACAGTTAAGGATAAGTTTGTGATTAAAAACTGTCTGATATTTGCTTGGATTTTTGAGTGAACACAATAAGGAGGGGAGTCTTTGGCATGTTCAGATCTCCTAGAAAGAGGCAGGAACCTTCTTAAATGGAGATTAGTGATGTGGGTTTTGCCCAAAGCAGGTATTTCTTGGGGGGCATTGTAAAGCAGATGTATTATACTGAAGGATTTTGGGGAGGGAAGGATAGATAGATGTTTTTGAAGCATCAACAAAAGGAAACTGGTTGATCATACTAAAGGTGTTTGGAGAAGGTATGTCAAACACAAGGTGACTTTTTTCTTATATTCTCTCAAGACCTTTTGTATAGGTAGTCTATTCAACTTTTGAAATTAGGAGCTTTCTAAGTTCTAAAGATTTTGGATTTCAAATGCTAATGTACCTTTATTTCCATCCGCGTGAGTGCATAGGATAAACTTTGATACCTTCTTGAACAATGTTTGTGCTGTGCAAAAATGTGGCAGTAGCTTTCATGTGTATGTTCAGTACGTATGTGTGAGCGCTGCTTGTATTTAGGCGCAGCACACTCTCCAAGGAAGTTGATACCAAATTTCTTCATTTTCCCAAAGCTACTCTGGAGTGGTTCTTGTTTTCTAAGGTGCTAGCTGGTGCTTAAATAATAACAATCCTTAAATTACACAGAATTTATGAAGGTTTAAAATAGCTAATAATGTACTTCAAGTTATTTTTCTTGGCATAAATAAATGTGTGTGTGTGTATGTAGCTTTTGTATTGATTTACTTTATAAAAATAAACAAGCTGAAAAAGGCAGTCAGTAATGATAAAGAAAAACATTATAATATAACTGTTTTCTTTGGTAGCTGGAGGTGACTTAACTGTGTCCTTGACAGATGGTAGCTTGGCCACTCTTGAAGGAATACAGTTACAACTTGCTGCTAATCTGGTTGGACAAAATGTTCAAATTTCTGGAATAGATGCCACCAGTATTAACAACATAACATTACAGGTAGGTTGCTCACAGTTTCTTGCTTTTAATTTTGTAGAGTCACTTTGAAGGCTGAAGGAAGTTTAAGAAGCATACTTAATTCTGGAAGAGTTCCCATTGAGTGAGGCATGTGGCAATACCATGCTATATCAGTTGTACCATGTTAAAAGACTTAAAGAATAGTTGCACAGTGGTTTTTTTTTTTTTGGTTTGGTTTCATTCTTTTTCAGTTTTTCAGTTTTTTCTGCCCTGCTAGGATTTTGGCACATTGCTCTAAAATCTGTTTTTTTTTTTTTTTTTCTTTTAATTGCATTTTGTCTTTTCACTTCAGAAGCGTTTTAGGCTCCCCACTCAACCCCCCAAAAGAACCTCCCACCCCAGAAACAGACCAACCCAAATTATTGCACAGAATGTTCTTTTCCTTAACATAAGACACCTGTGTTATTTGGCAAGCTTTTAATATTTGGATTTACAATTTAAATTCTCATTGAGCTTGTAAAATGAACAACAGAAAAAGGTGAGATTATTATATTTAAAAATTTGTATTTGAAATTATGTGGAAGAATGAATTTCATGAACTTGGTTGTTTTATCAGTTTCACAGAAACATTGAGGTTGGAGGAGACCTCTGGAGGTCACCAGGTCCAACCCCAAGGTCAGAGAAGGGACATCTTCAGAGTTGTATCGGGTTGCTCAGAGTCTCTCTACTCAAGAAGTTGTTAGCATAAAATGAAGAAAACTATATTTTAGTTTTGTTTTCCCCAATCATCCCTAAAGAGTAAAATGTCTAACTGTTGAGAACAGCTGTTTGACTGTGAACTGGGACCTTACTGAGCCCTAGGAGCTGAAAAAGTAGATAATTTCTGATATCAGTGTTCCCTCTGCTCCTTGCCTTTTCACTTTCAAGGACCTGAAGACAGTGATAAGCATTACATGCAGCAATAAGACAGTACAGAATGCCAGCAGTGCGGGTACCTGTTGCCCAGCATACTCATATGTAACTGTGATCATGATTTCCCAAACATTTTGGTGAGAGAAGGGAGGGAAGAATCTACAGGTGAAGCTGAATAGGCTGTTTATGTAGTGACTTTGGAGACTAGCTATGTACAGACACTTTAAAAAATAAATTTAAGTTTAAAATGGTTAATTATAAAGCTTCAATATTACATATACTCTATACACAATGAATATAAATTCTGGATTTATGTTAAGAATATTCATTTAACCCGTAATTTTTAACTTCAGATTGATCAGATTGAAAACTTCCTTTTCAGATCGATCCAAGTATTCTACAGCAGACATTACAGCAGAGTAATTTACTTGCTCAGCAGCTAACTGGAGATCCCAGTATGGCTCCACAGAATCCCTCCCTCCAGGCAACAGAAAATGCAGTGCCAGCTAATGTGGTTATTCAGCCTATATCAGGCCTCTCTTTGCAGCCCACAGTAACATCATCTGCTAACATGACAATAGGATCCCTATCTGAGCAAGAGTCTGTGCTGACGACCAGTGCTAGTGGTAAGCAGTGTCAATATTTTATTGTGCTTTGAATTTCTTAGTTTTACTTATGGTATTACCCACAGTGAGAAAATCCTGCCCCCCTCCCTCTGCCAAATACTTCATTTAATAAAATAAGCATACACTTCTTGTATGAGCATCTTCAGCAAATTTCACAACTTTGTGTTACTATTTTTGAATATTATTTTTTCAGAAGGTGGACTATATAATGAAAATACTGAAGGACATTCATAGTCTTTAGAAAAATACAAGGTCTTTGTTCTGAACATCTTAACCCGCAGAGGAATAAATTGGATATGAAAACAATTTATTCTTTAGAGTACAAGTTCTAGCATCTTACCTTGGCTACGTCTTTTTTTAGTAGTTCAGAAAATAATGTATTAATTGCTTTAAAAAGTTGTGTGTATTATAAAGAAAGGATCTTCATGGAATTTTTTTGTTCTACCCTCTTACATTTAGGTGCACAGGACATCTCTCAAGTCATGACTTCACAGGGTATGGTATCATCTTCAAATGGACAACATGAGATAATGTTGACCATAAATAATTCCAGTTTGAGTCAAGTTCTAGCTCATGCTTCGGGTTCTACTACTACAAGCTCATCAGGAAGTCCTCAAGAAATCACTCTTACAATATCTGGTTGGTATTTTTAATGATCTTTAATGGTACCAGATCTTCATTTTATAAGGTAGCTATACAGTAGCATTTGAGGATATTTTCACAGTCCACAGCTTTGCTGTGGTATATTTTTTGTATTCATCAGCTTTAAAAGATATTCCCCAAATCTGCTTTTGAAAACCAAATACATTTGCTTTGAGGATGTATGTTAGATTGGTTCCAATTTTATTCATAGCCTTAAGTCAACAGATGTTTATCTTGGTGGCAGAGCCCATATAACCAGTTCTTACTTCCTTGCTGTGCCTCACTTGGGGTAGTGCAACTCCTGGGTAGTACTGGGACGGGAACCAGCAGGGCAAGCTTTGGGGATGAGTTTATTAAATTTAGTTTTCTTTAAATGCCTGTGGAACCATGCTCTAATAAATGTTCTGATCATTCTTTGAGGTGTACTATTCAGTCTTTATAATATGTAGTTTAATACTTCAGGTGTCTCTGAATAAATTCAGACTGACTTTCTTACTGCCTCCAAGAGACTGATCCTATATATACTATAGATATCTATTTCCCCCAAAGACAATTTGTATTTTGTGTTCATGACATTTCTTTAACAGATCTAGTATAATATTTAGCGCTTTTCTCTTTCTTTTCCTTTCTTTTTTTCTTTTTTATTGCTTTCTTTTCCTGTTTTCTTTTTCTCTTTTCTCTCTTTCCATTTTCTGTAACTTGTTTAGTGGTTTTAAGTGTCATGACAGTAATGTCTGTGTTAAGGTGCCAGAGACCCCCACCTATGTTTTTCTGCTTGTTAATGGATTCATCCAAGAAATAATTAATCCAAATAATTCATCCAAGAAAAATAGAGTCCAACAACTGATAGAATCTGCTTTTAGTTTCTATATGTTCTATGCTTGTTGACGATTCCACAAAATTAACACCATGTGAAGTTGCATTTTTACAAAAGAGTACATATTCAATGCAATTTGTTATCCATATTGTAGATCGAAAAAATCCCATTTTAACCATTAGCCTTTAGTTTGCTTGATTTTTATAGTTTGATGAAGTTGGTGCCTTGAATCTAGATAAGTAAGATCAATATTTGCCTAAATATTAATAATCTCAGCTATTTCTCTACATGTTAGTATCTAGATATGCATTATCACATCTGTATTAAAAACTTGTCAAACCTCTGCATAAAAATCTGTATGTTTAGAAATGAATTTTGTATTTTGGTTGTCTTTTATTATTTTATGATTACTTGTTTATAGTTCTAAGTACTGTAGCAGAATACCATTGAGACATTTCCAGTTATAATAGGACTAATTTCTATTCAGGCCAAGATCTTATTCAGCATAATTCTGGAAGCAGTGATCTGAATAGTGGTTTAAGGCTGACAGCGCCAACCATCAGCAGTCAGACTACAGGTGCTACATTAACTATAAGCAACGACCAGCTTCTTTCTCAAGGCACTTCACTAAATGCTCCAGGTATGCATACAGTGATTTTTCTAATTAAAAACAATAATATTTTGTTAAAAAATAAATATTAGACCAGGTAACTAAATGTGAAGTGGTATAATCTTGCACATTACGATTCAGGAACTACACGGCTTTGAGTGTTTTCTCACTAGCTTTAAATTATTATGCCAATTTAAATGAAGTTTACTCCACATACTAAGAAGAAAATAAAAACAGTAAGGCATATCTAAAAATAATACTTTGAGGCAGTTACAAGAATATTGAAGGACTATTTCTATAAATTGGAGGATGAAGAAATTTGATACATTTGCTGCAGACAGATGATAAAATATCCTTTATATCACATTTGCTCTGGTATTCAAATTTTGAGATTTTGAATGTGTATGAATTTCTACCTATATCTGTTTATATATACGAACACATGGGTGTGTGTGTAGTTGTTCATACTTTCAACCAGTGCAGCAGGTTGCATTGGTTGCACTGATTGATTGCAGCAGGCTGCACTAATACAGACTTATGACTGATATGTAAATAATTTTCTTCACTCTTATGCATGCCTAAATTTTCTCTATCTTCCTTTTCCTTCATCCATCTCCTTTCATAGCTTCCTTTAGTGCTCGTATACATCTATAAAGCAAATCTGCTTTAATGTCATACTGGGGGAAGACTACCCACAGTATCCTGTAAGATTTGAAGGTTAAGGTGTGCTCTTGTGTAATGAATTAGTAAATGAAATAGTAAAAGCAGACAATTGTATTGTACCTTCTGTAGCATCCTCTCAGGATTTTAAGGCTTATCATAAACTGAAAGCCGTGAGGCCTCTAGTGTTGTATTGGAGAATGTATAATAAACTATTATACAGCTGTTACAATCAAACTGTTATGAAATATCTATTAATAATAAACTGGCCTTTTTTGCTATTATGGATTTTCAAACATGTTGCAAGGATAGGATGGGAGTGTTGTGTTACGGAGTTACCGAATTTTGGTTTTGCTGCTGTGAGTTGAAGTGTATTTCGTTGAGAATTCTGAAAGTGGTCAGACTACAGAAGCGTGTAACCTGAAATTTCTTCAGGTGTCTTTTCGTCAATAAGTCCTCTCCCACATGCCATGTTACAAAGTTATTTTGTTGCAGTATGATGTCCATTGAGCTACATTTAGATGTAGTTTTTCTAATTTTATCATCTGAGACTCTGACAATTTTTGACATGTGATTAATTGTTCAACTGATTTATTTGCTTCCAAAATAGAAAGGCCTAACAAATGAGAAATAGAAATAAAGTTAAATTAAGTTTGTGGCTAAGAGTTTATGTATGTAACAGATTTTTTTTTTTTTTACTATTTTGCATATATTCCAGAACTTAATACAACAGGTGGAACAAACCTTCCTCCAACAACACCCATATCTCAGTCTACAGTTTCTGCTCAGAATTTGGTAATGTCTTCATCAGGAGTTGGAGGAGATGGTAGTGTCACCTTGACTCTTGCTGACACTCAGGGAATGTTGTCAGGTGGTCTTGATGCAGTTACACTTAATATCACTTCACAGGTAAGACATGCTTTTCTGAAATGACAAATAAATTAACATTACTATCTTACAGGGCAGGAATTCGAGATTTTGCTTAGAAAATAATTTTGCCCTGAAAATACATAGTATTTGAAAAGTCAGTTAACTTTCAGGCACCAGTGTGTGCACACTGGCATCTAGAAGCATAAACTATTTAAACAGAAATACAGCTAAATTTTGCAGAGGTTTTGTTGCAATGAACATGTAGGTTCTACTGTTTCAAATGTTGTTTGAGATCAATTTTTAGTGATAAACTAAGCTGTGTACTTCATCATCACTATTTGGTAATACAGCTTAGTATTCCTAAACTTTTTATTGTTTAATATGGTAAATTTTTCTTTTCCTCCTTGTGAAAATGAGAGTTCAAGAGCAGTTGTGACAGTTCTTTCACAGCATATAACGGGACAGAATCTAAATTAAATTGACTGTCTTTAGTAACAGGTAGTGTTACAAGAAATTTTATAAGACTAGTGTTTTATGGGCTATCATCTCCCCAGTAGCTTTAGCACTAGTTTCGTTTTTTATCATAATTTAAGATTTTTGTGGTGTCATTAAGAGCCAAAGACATGTTGGGAAAATAGAATGTATAGAGTGGGGAGAAAAAAAAAAAATCCATACATAATATTAAAAGACTAGAAATTAAAAATATAGGGTCATTGTGTGGTTGGCATTTCAGTGTAGATTTTACATCTGAAAACTTGGGCTGTTTCTTCTACTTTCGTAGCTTACTTAGGTTTAGATTTATTTTTACTTACTTTTTGACCTGAACTAAAATGTGGAAATGTATATAAATGAAAGACTGTCTAGCATATGGTGTGATTAAACCTGTTAAGGCAAAGCTTGTGAGGATGATCATATGCTTCCCTCTGCAGTTTTGCTCTGGGGAGGGGAAGAAAAAACCTTTAAATAGTTCTTATGACACATTTGTGATTTCTGGCATCACAGAGCAGCAAAGCAACATGTGGTTTCATTTCAGTCTTTGTAATAATTTAAGCGATTACATTTGGCAGTATTGATGTTTATTAATAAAACGCTATGCCTAATCTTAATGCAGGTATAAATAAAACCAAAACGCTGTTTGGGGCACTATGCAAATGTAGTCTGTGTTGCAGGAATCATGTTGAATAGGCAGGTAGTACATAAAGGTGCTGTATTTCCTGCGAAAATTGAAGTATTTAACAGTAGTGTAGAAATAGAAGTAGTAGTATGGTATTAGTAATGGTGTATCTTAAGTAGTAATCTTGTACCTTGATTTCATGTAGTTTGGAAGTAAATTTAATTAAGGGATTTTAAAAAAGGAAAATACTATGGGAAGACCATGCAGGAAAGCAGAATATAGGGGTTAAAGTATCAGCTGAAGAGACAAAGATAAGGGAAGGCTGAAATATTCAGCAATTGATGCGAGGCTGGGAAAAAATCATCAGAACTGAATCTCTACTCTTACAGATTTACAGCTGTTGTTGCCCGTAAATTGTTAGACTTAAAATGGAAGGAGAAAAGGAGAGAAAACAGTATCATTTGTTCAGAGAGGATTCTGGAATGGTCATTATCAAGGAAAAAAAAAGTAGTTTTGAGGTGTAAATATAATTTACATGATTACAGTTAGCTGTTTAAATATAGTTATTCTACCTTTTTGGTTTTTCTCCCCTCTTCAAACAGGGTCAGCAGTTCCCTGCTATACTCGCAGATTCCAGTCTTGCTAGCCAAAGTGGGTCAGGCTCACAGCAAGTCATACTGGTGAGCCATACACCCCATTCAGCATCTGCAAACTCTGATGAAATAACGTATCAGGTAGATACAATACATTTCTGTGTCTTTTCTGGGTAAAGAACATTATTTAATCAAAGTACTGGAATGGTTCCTCTATATTCTGAAGCAGGAAGACTAATGTCATTCCCAATTAAGAGTATAGGGAAGAGGCTCACTGTGACTTCCTAGTCACCCAGATTCTAAGTTTTGAGTTAAAAGCACTTTTTCATATACAGAGAAGAAATGCAATTAATAATGTGTTTCTTTTTACAAATTACATAACCATGCTTTCAACAGAGACTTCCCCAAAAATTTCCAGTAAGTTTGTAATTAGATAATAAAATAGACAAAGTTGAGAGCTGTGGAAAAAAAAAGCACCTATTGATACACATTTTCCATTCTCTTTTTGTAACCAAATTGCTTTAATAGTGGTGCAGCATAAAGTCTTTTCAACTTCTTATGTATTTGAATTTCAATAGAAACTTTTACATATGTAATATAGTATTAATATTAGAAAAAGTAGTTCAGATTTCTCTTGTTGAATGCAAAATGAATGTTTTCAACCAACCTGGTAATGTAAGCTCTAAAATGGGAAAAAATGGGAGAGGCAGATGGTGACCCACAACCAAGCAAAGAAGTAGTAGACTGGACTGGCAAGGAAAGGGCAAGAGGTGGGCAAGTTGTGGCTGATATAGGCATGAGAAACTTCAAAAATAATAAGGACTGAAGGGAGGGGGCCTGCCTCAAGTGTATGTGTATGAATAAAGGTGCTGAGACAACAACATAATAGAGGAAACTTCAACACTCTTCTTGGAAAAATTGTCACAACTGGCTGTCTCTCTGAAGTGCCTGTACACTGGTCCATGCAGCATGGGGGACAAACAGGAGGAATTGGAGGTCTGCATGCAGTTGCAGGGCTGCGATCTCATTGGAATTGGAGAGAGAAGGTGCTATGGCTCACACAACTGAAGCACTGCCATGGCTGGATTCAGGATCTTTAGGAAGAACAGACTGGCAAGACAGCAGTGGGAATGCATGGAGCTCTGCCTGGATGGTGAGCCAACTGAGACCTTATGGGTAAGGATTGGCAAGCAGACCAATGTAGACTGACACTGTCGTGAATACTAGCCATCTGCTACAGATTGCCTGATCAGGAAGAAATAGAAGATGAGGCTTTCATGTTGGTCTTAGACAACCTGCCCTAGCTGACCCTTCTTGAGTAGAGGAGTTGGACTAGATGATCTCAGGAGGTCCTTTCCAACTTAAACAAATCTGTGATTTGCAGTCTCTGGTCTACATGGGTTACTTCAACCTGCCTAAGATCTGCTGGAAGGGCAACAAGCAGGGCACGAGGAATGTAGGAAATTTCTGGAGTGCGTTGATGATAACTTTCTGATACAGATGACTGAGAAGCCAGCAAGCAGAGGTGTTCTTCTGGGCCTGATAATTGCGAACAAGGAAAAACTGATTGCGATCGTGAAGGTCAAGGATATTCTTTATTGCAGTGACCATGAGATTGTGGAGATCAGGATCCTGAGGGAAGGAAGTAAGGCAAATAGGATCACAACCCTGGGCATCAGGAGAGCAGACTTTGGGCTGTTCAGGAATCTGCTTGTGTGGTGGGTTGACCCTGGCTGGATGCCAGTGCCCACCAAAGCCGCTCTATCACTCCCCTCCTCAGCTGGACAGGGGAGAGAAAATAAAACAAAAGGCTTCTGGGTCAAGATAAGGACAGGGAGAGATCACTCACCAATTACCATCATGCGGAAAACAGACTCGACTTGGGGGAAATTAATTTAATTTATTACCAGTCAAATCAGAGTAGGATAATGAGAAATAAAAACTGAATCTTAAAACATCTTCCCCTTACCCCTCTCTTCTTCCCAGGCTTAACTTTATTCCTGATTGCTCAATCTCCTCCCCTCCCAGCAGTGCAGGGGGACAGGGAATGAGGGTTGCAGTCAGTTTATCACACATTTCTGCCGCTCCTTCCTCCTCAGGGGGAGGACTCCATGCGCTTCCCCTGCTCCAGCGTAGGGTCCCTCCCACGGGAGACAGTCCTCCACAAACTTCTCCAATGCGAGTCCTTGACATGGGCTGCAGTTCTTCATGAATTGCTCCAGCGTGGGTCCCCCGTGGGGTCACAAGTCCTGCCAGCAAACCTGCTGCAGTGTGGGCTCCTCTCTCTATGGGGCCACAGGTCCTGCCAGGAGCCCGCTCCAGCATGGGCTTCCCACGGGGTCACAGCCTCCTTCGGGCATCCCCGTGCTCCAGCATGGGGTACTCCACGGGCTGCAGGTGGATATCTGCTCCACCGTGGACCTCCCTGGGCTGCAGGGGGACAGCCTGCCTCACCATGGTCTTCCCCACGGGCTACAGGGGAATTTCTGCTCTGGCGCCTGGAGCACCTCCTCCTCCTCCTCCTCCTCCTTCTTCACTGACCTTGGTGTCTGCAGGGTTGTTTCTCTCTCATACTCTCACTCTCTTTGGCTGCAGTTGCTGCTGCGCAGGTTTTTTTTTCCCCCTTCTTAAATATGTTATCCCAGAGGCGCTACCACCATCATTGATGGGCTTGGCCTTGGCCAGCGGTGGGTCTGTCTTGGAGCTAGCTGACATTGACTTTGTCAGACATAGGGGAGGCATCTAGCAGCTTCGCAACCTCTGTAGTTCCCCTGCTACCAAAACCTTGCCATGCAAACCCAATACAGCTTGAATAATCATATGGTAAGCAGACCTGGAGAGAAGGAGAACCAGGAGAGCTAGTTGATTTCAAATGTTGTCCTCCTCCAAGCTCAGGAATTGTCAGTCCCAATGTGTAGGAGGTCAAAGGCGAGAGGAGGCCAGCATGGAGGAAGAAGGAGCTCCTGACGAAACTCAGACATAAAAAAGAAACATACATAAGTGGAAGCAGGATCAGGTCACCGTGAAGCAGTACAGAGACACCATTCAAGGAGACAGGGATGACTTTGGGAAACACAAAGCCCACCTGGAGTTGAATCTGAAAGGGACTTAAAATGTAACACAATGGGCTTTTACAGGTATATCAGCAGCAAAAGGAAGATGAGTTGGCCTGCTACTGATTGGGGCAGAAGACCTGGAGACAGGATTTGGAAAAGGCCGAGGTACTGAGTGCCTCTTTTTGCTTCATTTTTACTGGTAAGATTTGTCTTCAGCAATCCCAGATCACCAAGATCACTGGTAAAAGGTGGAGCATTGAATATGTACCCTCAGTAGAGGATCATGCACAAATCAAATCCATCGGTGATGGGATACACTCGTGAGTGCTAAGGGAACTGGCTGATGTTGTCATGAGATGAATGTCTATTATCTTTGAAAGTTCATGGCGATCAGGAGAGGTTCCTGATGACTGGGAGAAAGCAAAAGTTACTCCTACCTTCAAGAAGGGCAGGGTTGGAGAATCGGGAAAGTACAGGTCAGTCACCCTCACCTCAGTCCCTGGAAAGGCAATAAAGCAAATGTGTTCGGAAATGCTTTCCAGGATTGAGGGACAAGGTGATGATTAGGAGTAGTCAGCAGAGATTTATGGAGGGGGAGACGCGCCGAACTGACCTGAGAGCCTTCCACAATGAAGTGACTGGCTTGGTGGATGAGCAGAGCAGTGGATGTGGTTTGTCTTGACTTTAGTAAGGCTTCTGATGTCATATCCCATAACCTCCTCATAGGCAAGCTGATGAAGTATGGGCTAGCTAAATAGAACAGCAAGGTGGATTGAAAACTAGTTGAACTGCTAGGTCTCAAAAAGTGTCGTGATCTGTGGAACAAAGTCCATCTCAAGAGCAGTCATTAGTGGTGTTCCACTGGGTTCAAATACTGGGGCTAGTACTGTTCATTAGTGTTCTTCATTAGTGACATGCATGATAGAACAGAGTGCATGTTTGGCAGGTTTATCGGTGATGGAAGACTGGAAGGAGTAGTTAACAGACTGAATGGGTGTGCTGCCGTGCAGAGGGACTTCAGCAGGCTGGAGATCCAGGCCAACAGGAATCTCAGAAGGATCAGTAAAGGGAAGTGCAAAGTCCTGTCCCTGGAGGACAACCCCATGCACTAGTACACACTGAGGGCAGCAGGAAAGCAGCTTTTCAAGAAGGACCAGGGGATACTGGTGGACAAGTAGTTGGCCACAAACCAGCAGTGCGGCAAAGATGGCCAACAGCATCCTGGGATGTATTAAGAAGAGTGTTACCAGCTGGTCAAGAGGGTTGATCCTCCCCTCTTCTCAGTACCAGTGAGAACACATCATCTGGGGTGCTGTGTCCAGTCCTGGGGCCTGCAGTACAGAGAGACATGGACATACAGGAGTGAGTGCAGTGGAGGGCTACAAAGATGATCAAGGGATTGGAGCATCCAACATAGGAGAGGCTGAGAGAGCTGGGACTGTTTGGCTTAAAAGAGAGCAGGATCTGGGTCAGGGGGCGGGTTCTTATCAATGCGCATAAATATCTGATGGGAGGGAGTAAAGCAGACAGAGCCAGGCTCTTCTCAGTGATACCCAGTGAAAGGACGAGAGACAATGGGCACAAATTAAAATTCCATCTGAGCACAAAGAAACCCTGTTTCACTGTGAGGGTGATTGAACCCTGGAAGAGGTAGTCCAGAGATGTTATAGAGTCTCCATCCTTGGTGACATTCAGAAGATGTCTGGGCATGGCCCTGTGTGTGCTCTAGGGACATTGGACTAGACAATCTCAAGCCATCCCTTCCAACTTGAACTATTCTGTTTCTAATAACATCTTGTGCATATGATTTTTACATTTGCATATGCTTACAAGTGTAAGTTCTTAACAATTTTAGTGTTCAAATACTCTGTGAAGATGGAAGTTTTAAAATTTAACATGAACATATTTTCTTACTCTTCTGAACTTAAAACTAGATATTGTCTTTCAATATATATGTTTTCATAAATCAGGTTGCCATTTCATAAGGCTTATTATAATAGCACTTGTAAAGTGTGACTGTGTCCAAGTAGCACTATTGTAGTAACAGTCAAAATGTAACGCTGATGTAAACTAGTTTTCTGTCATTACCTGTAATGTTTGTATGTTTTATTTAATCATGGCGACCATGTTGACTGACCTTTCAACTTTTCACCCTTTTCCTGAAAGGTTCCAACTAGTTGGAAACACACATGCATGCATGCACACACACAGGATTTTTTTTTGTCATTTCTTTTTATATGTTTTATATTGCATCTTTGCTTTCTAGTATGGATAATATTCTACTATGTTCTGTGTCTTTTCAAGTTTAGTTCATCCTGAATAATTCATTTACAGTACTACTTCCTTTATCTTTTCTTCATTTGTTTCTTTCTGTAAGTTACTGTATTTAAGATTCTTTTGTATCTATAAAGTTGAAGGAACTGTGTGTTATTTTATTTGAAGAAAGTGAGATTTTTCCAAACACACGTCATTGATTAAAACAAAACAAAAATGCAGCATGACCCCATCCAGATTCTATCAACTTTTCATTGTGTTTCAGTACTTCTGGAACTTTGTGTTGGTAGCTCAAAGCTTTACTTCCTTCTGAAAATAGTGTCCCCAATGAAGAAATTAAACAAATGGAAAATATTCTTCTCCTCTGTAAAATCAGAGATACTTTCTTTTTTTGTCTGAAATGTTTTTGGCTTTGAATTTTGTTTGGTGAGAAATGTGAGAATCATCTGAGATGCTCAGGAATATAAAACTGAATATTGGAGAATATTGATACAAATGCATTCTGTTTATAATGCATAAATGAATTTGATCATAGTTATAATCTGTCTGTTTTTTTTAAAATACATATATGTGTCATTCTTAAGAGCAATGAAATACAAGTTCATATTTACATACAGCTTATTTCCTTTGTGTTGGTAAGTTGCTTACAAGTACTGTCCAAAAATTGGTCATGTTGAGGTAGATAATCCTTGTTGTGGATGTGCCTATGAAATTATTTGATAGTGTTTTTGTAAATTGTTACAGGTGACAGAGGTTTCTCCTAATGTGACTAAAAGCAGTCAAGCAGAAAAAGAAGGTCGCGTGCACCAGTGTTTTGAGTGTAGTCAAACCTTTTCTTCAGCCACCATGTTGATGCACCATAGTAAAGAGGTTCATGGCAAGGAAAGAATACATGTTTGCCATGTCTGCAATAAAGCCTTTAAGCGGGCAACACATCTCAAGGTATTTGGTAATAACAGTTGATTGTTCTGTTAACTCCTTTTGTTTTGGACTTTTTGCGATATTAATGGAAGGTACCTATTATCTCTTTACCTTTCCTTTCCTTTTAACAGTGTGAGAGGTGTGCATCAGAGAGAGGGAGTCTAAGTGGTAATGTATACACAGATAGAGAACTCTCTCCTGGAGCATGGAGAGGCTTTTAATGCATATATTGACTACAGAATGAAAAATGTGAATGCCTGTCATGCAAATAATAGTGCCAGGAAAAGATTTTGCTTACTTTATTTGCTTATGTATGTCATCACTGCTAATCCTGATTTCCAGATAAGCTTTTGGAATCATAGGATGCTACCTACTTTGCGCTCTTATCATCTGATTTTTAGATGTTCTGCCTTGTGAGTACAAGTGACATCTGCAGAGGAACCATTTGTTTTAAAATATCCTCATATTATTGCTGTTGTCTAGTGATGTTTTCTCTGTAATTTTCTCTAGAATACAAAGAACCTGATACTTCCAAGTCTTTTTAAAAAAAAATTAGTGGTGTGTTTAAGTTTTTAATTACATTATAAAATGTTCCTATTAGGAATATTGGGCTGTACCAGATAAGTGATATGTCCAGGCCAGTATCCTGTCTCTGAGAGATACTACAAGGCAGTGATTTGAAGAAGTGCTTTATGAAAAGAGCAAACATACAACGTAACTTGCCCAGAATTTTGCCAGCTTCCCAGAATACATAGCAAGAAATTTCTGGAGCCAGAGGCAATGTCTTAATATTAAGTAGCTCTTAGAAGAGCTCTTCAATAGATATTCTCTCACTTTAGTATTATATTTTAAGGCAATATACCCTGTTTGTGAAATTCACCCCCTTGGACTGATCACGTGTGTCAACCAGACTGTTAGTCCTTGGGGAAACTGTCATAAAACGTGGTGTTGTGAAACTGTTAAGCTCTGGTTTAGGAGAAGTTTTCCAGAGGAAAAAAGAAAAAGAAATAAATTATTGATACTTGTTTTCCTTAAATAATGATAACAAAACCCAAATATCAGTCTCTCTTCAGTTTGTTTTCTTAGATTGACTGGTGTTATATTTTTTTTTTTCTTCATAATTAAACCTTCACTTCTATTATATACTTGGCCCAGGGTAAAGGTACGACAAGCTAACTTCCTACCCTGGTATGGCCCTCACATTATTACCCACATTGCTTTTTCATGTAGGCAGCAATGAAGTTGCAATAAGTCCGAGGGCTATCAAAAGAGACTTCAGGGCCTTGGCATGACTGGTTAAGAGATGAGGAGCACAAGTAGCGTTCTCCTCTATCTTTCTAGTTGCAGGGAATGATGAGGGAATAAACCCAGCAGATCAGTAACTGTCTCTGAGACGGGTGGCACCAGCCAGATTTTGGTTTTTTTGATCATGGGTCGGTCTACACGACACCAGGCCTGCTAGCAACAGATGGGGTACATCTGTTTCAAAGGGGGAAAAGGATCTTTGTGCAGGAGTTAGCAGGTTTCATTGAAAGAGCTTTAGACTAGATTTGGAGGGGATAAAACCAGACTTGCTAAAGATAAGCCTGAGGGTGGCATGCCAATGTTTGAAGCATGGTGTGCTAGCGAGGTCCTTTGGTCTGCTCCACAACATGCTGAATACACTGGAGCACTTTTGAAATGTCCATGTACTAATGCACGAAGCACCCTAGCCATCCCAGTGGAAGTAGGGGATGGAGATCCATGCAGCAGCAAAGACGCAAAGGTTGTTGATGTGTTAGAAACCACAGAAGCGCCTCAGAACAGTCACATAGGGATTAGGGCTTCTCCTCCAAAAAAGGTGGCAGGATCAATAGCCCAATTGAAGTGCATCCACACCAATGCATGCAGGAGGAGCTGGAAGCCATTGTGCAGCTGGAAAACTATGATAATAGTCATGGAAACATGGTGGGATGACTCACACAACTGGAGTGCTGTGATGGATAGCTATAAACTCTTCAGAAGGGATAGGCAAGGAAGGAGAGGTGCTGGGGTAGCCCTATATGTTAGGGAGTGTTTTGATTGTCTAGAGCTTAATGATGGTGACGATAGGGTTGAGTGTTTATGGGTAAGAATCATGCGGAAGGCCAACAAAGCAGGTATCGTGGTGGGAGTCTGTTACAGACCACCTAACCAGGATGAAGTGACAGATGAAATATTCTATAAGCAGCTGGGAGGTCTCACAGTCGCTAGCCCTTGTTCTCGTGGCGGACTTCAACTTACCAGATGTCTGCTGGAAATACAATACAGCAGAGCGGGAACAGTCTAGGAGGTTCCTGGAGTGTGTGGAAGATAACTTCCTGACACAGCTGGTGAGTGAGCCAACTAGGGAAGGTGACCCGCTAGACCTGTTGTTCGTGAACAGAGAAGGACTTGCGGGTGATGTGATGGCTGGAGGTCATCTTGGGCACAGCAGTCATTAAATGATGGAGTTTTCAATGCTTGGAGAAGTAAGGAGGGGTGTCAGCAGAACTGCTACCTTGGATTTCTGGAGGACAGACTTTGGCCTGTTTAGGAGCCTGGTTGACAGAGTCCCTTGGGAGGCAGTCCCGAAGGGCAAAGGAGTCCAGGAAGGCTGGACATTCTTCAAGAAGGAAATCTCAAAGGTGCAGGAGCAGGCTGTCCCCATGTGCTGAAAGACAAGCTGGCGGGGAAGAAGAGCAGCCTGGCTGAACAGAGAGCTTTGGCTGGAACTCAGAAAAGAAAGAGTTTATGACCTTTAGAAGAAGGGGCAGGAAACTCAGGAGGACAAGAAAGATGTCATGAGATTATCTAGGGAGAAAACTAGCAGGGCCAAAGCCCAACTAGAACTTAATCTGGCTACTGCTGTAAAAGACAATAAAAAATGTTTCTATAAATACATTAGCAACAAAAGGAGGGCTAAGGAGAATCTCCATCCTTTATTGGATGTGGGGGGAAACATAGTGACAAAGGCTGAGGAAAAGGCTGAGGTACTTAATGTCTTCTTTGTCTCAGTCTTTAATAGTGAGACCGATTGTTCTCGGTACCCAACCCCCTGAGCTGGAAGACAGGGAAGCGGAGCAGAATAAAGCCCCCATAATCCAAGGTTAGCGACCTGCTACACCACATAGACACACACAAGTCCATGGGGCTGGATGGGATCCACCCAAAGGTACTGAGGGAGCTGGTGGAAGTTCTCACCAAGCCACTTTACATCATTTGTCAGCAGTCTTGGCTAACCAGGGAGGTCCCAGTTGACTGGAGGTTAGCAAATGTGA